ACATATTCTGTCTCCTGATTATTACTCATTCTTAGCACTCCTTTTACATCATGTGCTTTGTTTGGAAATGTGGTCAGTCAAAATGAACAGTAAACCATGCCAGTGTATAGTGTAAACCTATCGGCCTGAGAGAAATAATAATAAAGTCAGTATATAAGTAACAATTACTTTTTGCTTTCTTCTGCATTATTTTCTTATAGTATTTTTAAACTTTGGTATCTGATTCTTTTTGCTTAGCCTAATTTCAAGTTTTCACTATATATATATAGTGAAAATCTAACTTAGTTGAAATTAATGGGAGTTATGTCATTGATTTCAGTGGAGCCAGGATTTAATCCATGGTCTTTAATATTGCAAGTTAAAGTTTCCAGTTATTGCACAATTTATGTAAAAAGTAGAACTCATCACTTTTATCATAGACATGATTGACTTATGAATATTACATTCACTTTCAAAAATAGAAAGGACCAAATTTTGTTTAAGGTTTTTGATTTTTTTTGTCTGTCTCTGTAAAACTTAATGATGGAAAAGATTATCCATGTGATCTGGGTACACACACACATCTCCTTGAGGAAGCCTCTTATGATTTCTATTAAATTAATAGTGCACAACTTGTCACAATCAATATTATTTAAACTCTAACTGTAGGTCTACACTGCATGCTTATTTCAGAATAAGCTATTTCGGAACGCCAAAATAGCTTATTTTGAAATAACGTCTACATAGCAAATGCCCATCAAAGTAGCACTGAGCTATTTCAAAATAGAGTATTCACATTCATTGGATGCTGAATCGCATTTAAGGTCACCCAGAAGCGCTTCAGGCAGGGCATCAGGAGAGCACTCACTTGCTGGAGCTGCTTACTGAGACTAGCTGAGGCTCGAGCTTAAATGTACAGCTGTGTCCAGGCTCCCTCTCTTTTGCCTACCTCCTTGAGGGACAGCAAATCCATTCCACTGCCTGTTCTGGTTACCCTTGCGGACACCACAGCAGTCCAGCCATGGAGCCGGACCTCCTGCTGTAGTTATTGCAAGTTGCCCTTGTGGCTCTACAGGAGGAGGACTCCCAGCTCATAGTGGTTGTTGAAGTCATGGTAGTGGACATCTATATTCATTACAATTTGCATTTTTGCTGTGGTGCTAGGAGTTCCTTTGCCAGACATAAAGAAGTGCTCTGTATGGCTTGAAAGCTTGTTTCTCTTGCTAACAGAAATCTGGTGTGTAACCCTTCTGCTGGATAGGTCCGGCAGCAACCAGGGGTGCTGAAGCCGAAGGGGAAAGCTGTAGGAGAGCTCTGGAGGCTCACAGTGGTTACTACTGCACCCGACGGAGTTAAATTACACTGTTGCAAAATATCTGTTCTATTTCTTAAAGCCATAAACAACTGCGCATATTAATGTTCATGCCATTTACCCATTCGCTGACAAAACAGGAGTAATTGGAGGATCGTGTTATAATTGATTGATCCTTCCGGTGGCCACCTTTCCTGGTCCTCTAGCTGATATTGAGGCCAGTCTACTGTACAGACCCTTTTCAGTTTACTTTTAGTCATGGGATCTGATCCAAACACTTTCCAGTTCACTAGAATGCATTCTAAAGGTGTACACCATGCCCTGCCTGTCGCCTGCCCCATAACCTCAGGAGACACTGGGCGTCCCCAGGTCTTAACAGGCGAAAGTCCATCCCACTGGACTGTTCCTACTTTATCCACGGGACCGCTTCCACACCGTCACCTGCAACTGCTTCTCCACTTGAGTGTGTTGTGCCCTCCGGGGTCGATCAAACTGTGTCTTCGCCGAGGCCCCCGATAAAGTCACCGGTGCGCGCTGGGCGTCAGTCGTTGCCACAATCCATCGACCACCAGGAGGGGTCCGGGCAAGGCTAAATTTCAGCCTCGAGTCCCATCTGGGTCGCCAAGAACTGTAGCCGGCACACAGTGCCCGAGTGGGGCAACAGCTGGGTTCGTTGCCCGGTGTGCGCGCTCCAATAAACACACCGGTGTGGAGAAGCAAAAAAAAGTTTATTTGAACACTCAAATAGGTGCCAAGAGACTAGACCTCAGATCAAGCACACCAACGTAAGCAGTTTTCCCTCCTTATATACCCAGGTTGTTTACTTGCAGGAACATAGTGAACTGTAGCAAGGTTCCCATGCTGGCACATGTTCCTCCTCCTCCCCCTCTACAGAAACACATCTGAATTCTTCTTCTATACCACTGATAGTAACTAGGCAACCTCAAGGTCTGTCTGTCTTGCTGTTTCCAGCTGTTAGCGAGCTAGAGAAAAGTTATGCCTGGGGGGGAGGAAGGGGCAGAAGGGGGAGAGGGGGGTGCTTGGGCCTAGAGCGGGGGGGCTTCATCGATCCTTGTGATCTTCCACTCCCCCGAGTTACCTAGGATCATGCCCAGTGACCCCAACATAGATGCTCCGTATTTTGAAATAAAGCTATTTCTAAATAAGCTGCACAATTGACATAGCTCAATTTGCACAGCTTATTTTGAGTTAAACCCTGCATTGTTGACGTATCCCAGTAGACCTGTGCAGTGACATCTGATTGTTTCATATCTGTTGGTTTCAAAACGTTTGGAAATTTTTCAAAAAGTTAATTGACTTAGACATCATCATTCAGTTTTGCAGATTTTCCCCATTTGGTTGCTCTGCCTCCTGTCAAGTTAGTCATACTCCCAAAAGCATACAGATTCCTTTCAATGTTATTGTGTTTTCCTGGGTTTGGGGTGATTACCAGAGACTTCTGATCATTATTTACACCTGTTTCAGCTCTTCTGTGGCTAACAGCAAAGGAGATAATATGGCCCAAAATTTAAACAAATCAAGTTCTATTGTAGAGCAGTTGACTTATACAAAAACTCAGATTCTGATGCTTGTTCCTCAGTTCCCTGGTTTAAGGATAAGTCACGGAAGAGTGGAATCCTATTACAGTAGGCTTTTTAATCAGCTGGTCAGGAGCGCTTAGCATTTTGATATCAGGAGTGCCGAACAGTTGGATGCCGGACTATCAGAGTTTTACTGTATAAAGAAAAACTCATTTCCCCCCCCTGCAGATCCATGTATTAAGTGGATAGTTACTAACCAGCTTTGTTGTTGAAATAACTAGAATTTATTCTTCTTAACTTCATAGCTACATGTGGATGCCAAAGTGCAGGTTTTCATTGAAGGTGTTCATACCTGGGGATTTTGGTTTGGGCCCTTATCTACATAACTATAATTTCAGTATAGTCAAATTGACTATAAGTGGATTCCACAAATGTGTATGATATATTATACATGCTGTTTGTTATTGTGAATGTAGAGTTTATTTATAAGTATTGTAGTATGTGTATAAAGCTTCTCAGTTAGGATTCCTGTTTGATTTGACTGCTTTGTGTTTCTTGTAATAGTTCACTTGTCAAAGTGTTTCCTTACAGAATAATAACTTTAGGCTACAAGAAACCATTGGAAAGAGAGGACCTTTTTGAATTGAATGAAAGTGACTCTCCATATATTGTATGTCCCAACTTTGAAAAGCATTGGAGGAAGGAACTTTTAAAGGCAAGAAAAGGTTTAAAGGTAATGATGATAGCAATAAATAACATCACTAATCGTCATCTTTCTCTAAATTTACATTAGGCATCCTTGTCAAAAGTTAATTTCATTCTTGTAATGATTTAAATCAGATTTCTTCTCAGCAACCATAGATTTCCATACAATCTGCTCATCCTTTAATGGGGTACTAATTCAGCATACATGCTAAAAATGCTTTACTGTATATGTTTACATTACATTAGCAATGGTAATGAGTCTTGCTCTAAGATAGGCATTTTCAACATGTGGTCTGTGGATCCCAGGAGATCTGAGAAAGATGACTCTGAAAATAAAGTTTCAGGTCCCAGAAAAACATTTGGTTTTTCTGATCGATTAGAAATATGTGAGTTCCCCCACTAACAGATCAAAACCCAGAAATGATGTAATTACTATAGATGTCTACAGTTCAGCGCCTTCTCTCATGCTGTGTCAAATGCCATGCTGAGCATATGCAACATTTATAGTTGGATTGTTTTCAGTCTAAGACTTCTATGGTAGGAGTCTGTATGGACAACAGGTTGAATACCCAAAAGGGCAACACTTTCATTTGAAATTTAGGGGCCACAAATGAAAAAAGATTGAAAACCACTGCTGTTTAAGAAAAACACTATTATATAAGATACTGGCAACACTTGTGCACCATTGCAAGTGCTGGTGTCTGGAGATGCAAAGTGTATTTTATAGGGATGTCAACATGTAGACGACTACATGATTAAACGATAAGCCTGGGGTTATCCGTTAATCTTGTTGAATACACACACTCCCCACTATCCTTGTGACTATCGAATAGTCATGTAACCACTAAAATTCCATGTGGTTACATGATTATTCAATTACACACTATATAACATCCCTAGTATTACAACCATTAGGTTCAGTAGTGTAATCAAGGCTTCAGTATAATGTTTTAATGAAATTTCCTAGGTTGTTTTATGGTAGGTTGTTTGCATTTTTAAATTTATTTTTGAAATTTTAAATTATGGATTATTTTAATCTTTTTGGCTAGACACTGTAGGAATGCTATAACCTTAGTAAGTCTATATGAGGAGTCTCTACCCTGAAAGTCTTAGGCAAAACTGCACTGCTCGTTACTGAATAAGGCTAGCTCTTATTTCAAGCAGTATACCCGTTGCACCAGTCATTGAAATTTTTTTTATTGAACTGTAAATTTAACCATAAATATATCTATGGCATTGGCCTTTCTTAGTTAAGCAGTTGTCTAGATGATCATAAATTTGTCAGAGCAAAACCAAAGCACTTCTCAGAAAGGGCTATTACCTGCCTTATATCGAGCTCTTACTCCCCTGCTCTCTCTTTTGGGTACTCAGGAAGTAAGGGTATGTCTACACTAGCCCCCGCGCTTGATTTGCATCTTCCTGGCCAGTCGCCATTTTTGAAATTTACAAGTCCAGACTAACTGCCCGCGTCTACATGCAGCAAGGAGGTTTAACAGTTCAATTTAGAGGCTTTAATTCGAAATACCGGGTCCCTGCCACTTGTAAATTTCAAATATGGCGACCGGCTGGGAAGATGCAAATTAAGCGCGGGATATTTAAATCCCGGGCTTGATTTGCAACTTCAAATGCCTACATTAGCCTCCCTAGTTCGAACTAAGGTTCCTTAGAGTATGTCTACACTAGCCCCCAACTTTACCCTTCCATGGGTTCAAGGCTAACACTCCTTCTTTGTGGAATCAGGGCTGTGTGTGTTCGTAGGACCTTTTTCCAGTGCAAGAGCTTTAAACAGTAATATCCGTACTTTGTATTTATTAACAATTAATGAACAGAATACATATGCAAAGTATACAATGCTCACCACTCCCAATAAAGGAGACAAACTTTTTCTTGGTGGCAAATCAAGGTTAGATCATCTGGGAATTCTGGCTTCTGCAAGATATGTTCTGCAGGGTATTGAGATCTGGCAGCGGAGACCTTGGCTTTGCCCCAAAGTTAGATTTGAAAGGATTTCCTGTTGGACCCCAGTTTATGTAGTTTAAACTAGGGTCCCACTTTGCTATAATATTAACCTATCATTTTAAACTAAAGCAGAGGTTATCAAACTTCAGTGCACTGTGATTCCCTTCTGACAACAAAAGTCACTACACAACCCCAGAAGAGGGCACTAAAGCTGAGTCCACCCAATTCCCACTGCACCAGGTGGGGGAAACCCAATGCCTGAGCTCCACTGCTTTCAGCTGGGAAGGGTTCAGAACCAAAGCCAAAGCTCAAGGGTTTCATTCCTAACCAGGGGGCCTGTAATCTGAGTCTTACTGGTTAGGGCTGAATTCCTTACGCTTCAGTGGCCCTCGACAGTGGTACTTGGTCTTCAAACTAGATAACCAGCAATTCTGAACCCGCCCTGGTAACCCATTAAGTTGGGGCACCACCTACATTGAGGTCCTGACTCACAGTTTGAGAACCACTGAACTAAAGTATTAAATCAGTTGCTTTTCATCCATTATGAAACAATTATTTAAACAATCCTAGCCTATTACAAGATCATTATTTAACCAGTCAACCCCCCATCCCAAATATTGTGAAATTAGTTATGCAACAAGCAGAAACAATTAGACATGATACAGATAAACAATAGAGAAGTGTGGGATCATAAACACAAAACAATAGAGAAGTATAGATTTCACAATCACAATTATTGATAACCTTCTGTCTTGCAAGAAACACCTTAACAAACAAAATTTTCTGTGAGCATCGTAAGATCTGCTTCTTTATTTGGTGATGGTGAGTACTACTAGGACAGGAGTGCCTTCTTAACATCCAAATATTGAACTGTTTGGTGCAATTTAGATGGAATATGAGGATGTCACTATATGCTGCTTAAACGCATGGCTGTTATTTTTACTGTAGGAATAAGACTTCAGACTTTACAGGGCCATTTCATTTTTAAAAGCTGCCTTTCTAAGTCCAACTGATTTGTGGGGAGTATCTCTCCCCTCCCCCTCTGCTAGCTTCCACGAGTAAATGTGTGACTACTGACATTTTCAGCAGTTACATGTTCACCTAAACAAATGCATTTTAATATCCCTGCTACATAGTCTGAATTCCTTTTATATGGAGATATTTCCACCTTCCTCCTTATTGAGTTGGAAGAAGTATGTGCAGTCCACACACCTACTGGGTGTGGTGTATTGTTCCATGTAGTAAGTGGGGAGACTGAGAGTGTGAGTGTGCTCTACAGCCTTAGCTTGAGAGCCAGTTGGATTTTAGTTCAGGCTTTAGAAGATTATGCACTGAGCTCCAAGTTCTGTTCTGCCTGTGGCCATTACATATGCTTCACAGCATCAAAAGTATGCCCTTTATTTCAAGTTGATACTCTTTGTTGATGCTCTGCATTTTATGTTAAAATATTTGTCTTAATTGTGTATTTCTCTTGTGTAAATTGACAGGCTCCTCATGACAAAGGGGTGATATCAGAGAAAGCAAGTTTTGAGAAACCATCTCTGCTTTATCCTTTATGGCAGACATTTCGATTTTTATTGATTAAAGTGGCCATTCTGAAAGTTGCATCTGATATTCTAGCCTTCATTGGCCCACAGATAATGAAGTAAGTTTTTTTTAAATGCCCTACACTTTTTGTTCAGGGTTTGCAAAAATAATAAAGCTAAATGATTCCCAATATGCTGAAATTTAGTTCTGCTAACACTGCTATTAGAACAAAGGTCTCTGATATACGACATGTTATACATTTTTAAAAGATTTTTGAGGAATTAAACAAACAAACTTCCTCTAAGGATGTTTAATGCCATTTTGTGACCAAACGAAAACAAGAGATACTTCTGATATTTATAGGCTGAGATGTTAGGTCTGTAGGTCCCCTGCCTACATTTTGTCCATTCGGATTCTTTGTGTGGTTGCAAGACCTTTTGTTTTACCATTGCCCGTGGTTGCCAGGTTCTGCTGGTTTCTGTCTGCATAGTTTTTTCCCCCTACTGATATTACTAAAGTGACACTCGAATAAAGCAAGGGCACATGATATGAGATGTGTGCTAATTGCACACATTGATTGTGAGAGCCACACACTCTCTCTGTATCAAATCAGTGTGCTGATACGGTTCAATCAGCACACCCTGCAAATTCTAGCTTCTCAAGTATAGTTAGCAAAACTTCCCTATTCTGGAATATTGTCTTGGTTTCAACAGTCTTGTGGCCCACCGAGATGAAGAAGGGCAAACCATTCACTAGCCTAGGTTGCCTATCACAGTTCTAGAAATGCAAATATTGACAGTTCCAGTTTGACAGTTCTAGCTTGAATTTATAATTTCCCTCATGCATATTTTCTTAAATATGTGTCTGTTTTCTACATCTGTAGAACTAAATAAATAGTATTATATCAATACCACCAATTAGGGATTTCCTTCCTGCCTTGCATTAAGTTAATATCCTAGTACAGAAACTAACACGGTGAAAATATGTGGATTAATTATGAATGCTAGTGATGGCAGTTCTCTTTGTGGTGTTACACAGCTGAATGTGTTGACACTCAGATCCATGTTGTTATTGATATTGAATTGTCAGATGTTTTTACTGCTTTAAAGAAAACAATGAAATATTAACAATTGTGTGTGTGTATGTGGGGGGGGGGGGAAGCTTGAGTTACAAGAGTTCGTATTATCCCCTTCCTTACTGTGGGAAGAGGAAGAAAGTTCATACTGTACATAGCAACTTAACACGTCATGTATCAAAAGAAGGCTCATGAGCCTTTCGTGAAACAAGTGTGTCACAAAAGATCTTCACTCTGAAGTAGATTTCAGGTTGGCTGCATAAGCAGCCCCCATACGACAAGCAGTTACATGATAACCACTAACCATGGACAATACTTTATTCTGTAGCATGATTTACTTTAAGTGCTTCCTAATAACATATTTTCTCAAGAGAAGAATATATTTTTAAAATTTCATAATGTGGGTAATGCCCCCAGTCATTCTGTGAAGACATTGGTAACGTAAAAAAAAATGCTTGAAGTGAAAATGCTGTTGATGTCATGGAACTGATAAGGAGTGATCTAAGAATACTGAGTTGTAGTAATTTTATGAACACTATAAGCAACCTGGGCAGTTACTGTGCAACTAGGGTGGATTTATTTGAATTTCTGAATGTCAGTATTGATTTAACTTGTATTGGAGGAGGTGGAGTGTTTAAGGATGTCATGGGGCAGACTCACCGCCACGGCGCCTCCTGCCAGTAGCACTGGAAATTAACACTTATCTGCCTGCTGGATGCTTCCCTCTGGCTGGTATCTCCCTGTGTCCTCACTCCGTGCTTCCGTTCCAGACCAGCATTGCTCTTGGACCACCGTGTCCTCTTTAGGACACTGCCCTCCAGCAGTGACCACTACAGTTGCCTCCCATCTCCCTTATGGGGGTGGGGGAATAGTGTTTATCGGCAGTCCTATGTCTCTGCACTTTGGGGATCTCCCCTCTCAAGGAATCTCCGATTCCCCTATACCCACCTTGCCTCAGTGATCCACTACCAGTCTTCATCTAGCCCCTGCCACAGGGGCAAACTGCAGTCGAAAATGGCCACTCATCATTGGCAAGGGGGTGTGGACCTGCTGCCTCTTTTTAGCCTGGATGTCTTCCTGAAGCCCTAGTACACTCAGGCCTTGCCTCCAGTCCAGCAGCCAGGTAGTGTGGCCAAGCCAGAGCTCCCCGGTCCTGCCTGCCTCTTCCCAGCACTGCTGTGTCTCAGGAAACCTCCAGCCTCCCTGACAGCCAGGTCCTTCCTGTTTCCCAGCTAGAGCAAGAGTGTCTCTCTGTCTGCAGGACTGGGTTTTACTATTAAAGGATCCCTTCACAATGTGTCTGTAATGTTAAAATTCCACTAGGTCTCTGCATGAAGGCCACACAGTGGCTGTCCAGACTAGAACATCCAGGCACATACTTGAAAGACAATGGGCAATTTGTTACATTCAAGAATCCTGTGTTCTATTTCCAAGAAGTTGCAAATTAGTTACAAAATACTTATTTGGAGAAGAAATGAGAGATTAATTGCCAGATGCTCCCAAGGACAGACAGGTTGAAAAAGAGGCATTGTCTATCCTTAAAAGTTTAAAGTGCTTTAAACTGAAAGTGTGGCTATGGCATGAGTGCTGCTCTATGGAAGCTACCTCCACATGGTTCCTAGCACTGTAGCTCGATTCACACTGGTGCTTCACAGCCCTGTAACTTGCTTTGTGGGGAGGAGCGTATATTTATTTAAGACCTCTGAGCAAGCCAGAAAGTTACAGCGCTGTAAAGTGCCAGTGTTGACTTAGCCAGAGAGAGACTATGAAGATCAGTCTGAAAGATTTGGACCTGTCTCCAGATCTGGGGTGAGCAAATACCAGCTCCGAGAATGGATCCAGTCTACCAGGGTTATCCCCTGGCAGGCTGCCTCTGCTATATTTACGTGTGTCTCCGTAGATGAGGGCAATTGTAGCCCCTGTGGGACATGGATTGCCATTCCTAGTAAATGGGAGCTGCGGAAAGTGATGTCCCAGTCCTCACTGCTTCCTGCAGCTACCATTGTCCAGGAATGACAATCCATGTCCAACAAGAGCTACAATTGCCGATACCTGCGTAGGCGTAGGTAAATACAGTGGTGGTAGCCTGCTAATAGCCTGCTAGTAGCTAGGCTAATACTGGTGAACCGCCTCTGTTTTATTGCCCACCCCTGCTCCAGATCTATAGAATGGTAAACCTTAGGGACAGACAGGCAGGTGTGTGGAGTGGCTTGTTTTTTTAGAAAATATCTATTGTTTAAATAAATAATATTGTTCTTTAAAAAAATCTGTCTGGTTGCAACTGCCATTGTTCTTGGAAGGAACAGAATTGTAGGATGTACATCAGGCCTTTTGAGGTAATCATGGTAGATACACAGGGGACTGCAGTGCAGGGCAAGGTCTGAGAATGAATGAATCACACATTTCTCCCAAAGAGACAGGTGATTGCTATGGGCTTGAGACCTGAGAGGGAGTTAGTCTCCCAAGAAACTGGGATGTGGCATGGGGGAGAAGAAAGGGAGCTTGTCTTGTCTTGTTAGTCTAGAAGCTGTGACAAATGTAAAGGAAGCCCAACAGCCCAACAGTGTACTTAAGAATTTCAAAATTTAGAAAGTGGTTGCCAGGTGTCCGGTATTGATCCAGTCCAGTATTTTTGCCTCCTGTCCGGTAAAAAAAAAAAAATTCAGAAAATACCAGACGCCTAAAATGTCCGGTATTTTCTGGTTTTTTTCCCTTCCAGGAGGCGAAAATACCGGACACCTGGCAACCCTATGACACACTCAGCAACTGGGTCCAATCCCCGGTCCTGGACTCCCGCCCCCGGACCTTCTGCTTACCTGGTTCCTCAGGGAAGCTCCCTTCTGGCTCCACCAAGAAAACAAGATGGCCACCGGCAAAAAAACTAAAGACCTGAGCAAGGGGAAGCAATACCTTCCTACAAAAACAAGATGGCTGCCGGCAAAAAAGCCTCCTCTTAAAGGGGCCATGCTGATTTTATTTTATTTTATTTTATTTTATTTTATTTTTGCTTAATTGCTGTCAGGGTCATTTTTTTCTCTCTCTCTTTCTCTCTCTTCTCAACAACTTTGGTCTCCCCCCCCTTTTTTTTTCTCAACAGAATTTTTTCCCGATATTTTTTTTTGCAAGGGGGGCGGTATTGGTATTTTTGGTTAAACTATCTGGCAACCTTAAAATTGAATCAAGAGCTAAAACAAAAGAGAGACCAAGCTGATTGAAGGGTAATATTCAGACTAACTCAAAGGGTACATATTAAGTGTTAGTGTAAATTTGGATTTATGAGTCTGAACTTCTATTTTTTTGTTGCTTAGATGTAGGTTTTTCTTGTTTGATGAAGCAGCTGACCAAAAAAGAGGAGGAAGTGATTTTTATCTTTTATGGGAATGTGTAAGCCAACCATGCGAATGAGGCATTAATCAGAGAATTTATTAACACAAATGATTAGTGTTAACCTTTAGACTGTTGCTGCTCTCACTCCAAGCTATTGAAAAGTTTTTGCTAAAAGTAAACCTGGCTAAGATGCATATCTCCAGTTGTCTGAAAAAAAAATGTTAGAATGACGATGTCAGCTACTTTACATTTATATTACATGTATTAGTCAGTAGTAGTAGCTTGTTACTATCCTGAAAATAAAACACATAATTTTAACTTTTGTTTTTTTATTTTCTTCTATTTGGCAAGTACTGACTTTTTGTTCTATATTTCTAACAAATAAAAAAGGTAGACTTTTTAAAAAACACCCTGTATTTGTGCTCCATTACCAGTGAAATCATCGGAAACATCCCTCTCTGGGTATGTCTACTCTGCATTTCTTTTTTGAGAGAGGAATGCAAATGCAGCTGAGTAAAATTGCAAATGAAGTACGGATTCGAATTTCCCGCGCTTCATTTGCATAATCGTGTCTAGGCGCTATTTCGAAATACCCTATTTCGAAAAAAGAAACGCAGTCTAGACACGGTTATTTTGAAAGGAAACTCTTCTTTCGAAATTACCCTTAAACCTCATTTTATAAGGAGCAAGGGTAATTTTGAAAGAAGGTTTTCTTTCGAAATAATCGCATCTACACAGCGTTTCTTTTTTTGAAATAGGGTCCGGAAGCGATTATGCAAATGAAGTCCTGGAAATTCAAATCCGTGCTTCATTTGCAGTTTCGCTCAGCTGCATTTGCATTCCTCTCTCGAAAGAGGAATGCAGTGTAGTCATACCCTCCGTGAATACCACTCGAGAATTGTTTCAAAGCCAACAAAGTAGAGCACAGATGAATGCTCTTCCATCCCACCACCACTTTGAATATCCTGGTTCTTCACTGTCTTGCGTGTGTGTTTTTTTTTGTTTTTGTTTTTTGCTGATGCAAAGTGGATGTAATTACAATACAGATTATAAATGTATCAGTTTTACTGAGCCCTTTTGCCAAATGCATTTTGTTGATTAATACACAGATTTTAAATATTTGAATTCCTTCATTTTCAGGGAAATGATAACTCTGTTTGAAAATCGCTCTGATTTATACTGGAACCGGTACGGCTATGCCATTGCTCTTCTTGTTGTGGTTGTTTTGCAGTCACTTGTCCATCAGTTATACCAACGTTTCAATATGCTCACCTCTGTCAAAATTAAGACAGCTGTTGTTGCCCTGATATACAAAAAGGTACTGCTTCTTCTGATGTTACCCCTTCAGCTCCAAAATGGCAAATGTCTTAGTTTTAAAAAATATAAGAAATGCTACAAAAACTAGGAATGTCAACATATAGTTGACTATATGATTAACTGATAAGCCTAGGCTTATTGCTTCATCTTGTCAACTACATGCATTTGTCCCCCTTGTATCAGAGGCAGCAAGGGGGAGGGAAGCAGGTGCCAGTGCTGGGGAGAGCTGGCTTAAAAGCTGGTTCCCCTCATCACCAGCTCCACGCTGCAACCTCCCCCCCACCCTGTGCTGCTACCTGTGTCTGAGTTTTTAAACTGGCTCCCCTCACAGATTGGCTCTCTCTGCCACACTGTACTACTGCCTCTGATCAGAGCGTAGGGTGGCAGGAGAGCTCCTTGGGAGTGGGGCAAGAAGACCACTGGCTGCTGGCCCCGCCCCCAAGAACTATTCAATAGTTGTGTAACTGTTTAAGATTTCATGCGGTTACACAACTATGCAATTATCCAATAGCTAACATCCCTACCAAAAACAAAGATGTTGTAGGTTATTGAAAATGCTAATCAAGATGTCTGAACAATCACTGGAGAACTATCAGTAGCCATAGTTAAAATTGCATTTTTCCATTTCGTTGGTTTCATCCTATAAGTACATCTTAATGGGGGAAGTTCTGCATCAGTGCAGAAAATTCATGGAGATACAAGGTCTGCCAGGGCATTGCAGTATGTACAAGTTTAGGAACTTTTGTGTGGTGGTGTTTTTGTTGTTGTTGTTTTTTTTTAATAACTTTCACCAGGTGTTTTAGGTGAAACATTCTGCAGGTGTGTGCACAGCTAATACCAGATTTAATAAAATGTGCAATGGGCCCTATCTCATTCAGCTCAACGGAGCTTAGATACAACAATGCTCAAGAACTATGCTAGTCTACAAGATATTTGCTATACTGTACTGCAGTAGTTCCCAATCTTTTGGGGTTGCCGGGCGCCTGGGGGCGGGGCTGCTCATGCATGCGCGGGGCTTCTTGAAGCACGGGGCCCGGGGCGGCCGCCCTGCTCACCCTGCCCTATATCCGCCACTGAAGGTATGGATTCTGCACCCGGCATAGGGTTCAGCATTCCCCCAGGAGTAATACAGCTCAGTTTACATTTAGGCTACGTTTACACAGCTTCCCTCTTCTGCAAAAGCCTATGCAAATGAAGCATGGATTTGCTACACTTCATTTTCATAATTAATTAGGAGCTGCTTTGTGCAAGAGGTTTTTGTGCAAAAAGGCGCCATCTATACAGCGCCTTTTTACGCAAAAAACCCCTCTTGTGCAAGAGCTGTTTTCCTAAAAAAATGAGGAAGAATGGCTCGTGGACAAGAGGGGGGGTTTGCACAAAAAGGCGCTGTGGACATGGTGCCCTCTGTGCAAAAACCTCTTGCGCAAAAATGGCTCCTAATTATGCAAATGAAGCGCAGCAATATGCTAATCTGTATTTCATTTGCATAGGCTTTTACGGAAGAGGGAAGCTGTGTAGAAATAGCCTTACTGTGCACACTCTGAAGGATGGAAGGGCTGAAACAATTCATTGTATCTATTTTATTTGTCCAAAAGACAATCTCCTCCTTCAGGTGACTCAGAGAAGTGGCAAACATTACATAAGATTAGGTGCTGCATCCCAAGGCAACCTGTATCTGTCTTCCTGGATTCCTGCACTGGGAGCATTCTCTTTTAGCCCCATGTAGAGCTTGCAATACCTCTTTACCTCACGCTGGCCCCTTTAGCTGATATTCAAGGACCAGAATGGTACTGGGAATCTCATCCACCGAGTACAGTTTAGCTGTTATTTTATTATGCCTAAAACAGGTCTTTGAAAACACCTTCAAAATAAAGCACGTATTCAAGAAAGATATTTCACTTAGTAACCATACACTTTGGTTTGCTGTTGTTGCAGGCTTTAAGCTTAGCTAATTCTTCACGACGAAAATATACAACAGGTGAAATTGTTAACTTGATGTCAGCAGATGCCCAACAACTTATGGAACTGACTGTCAACCTCAATCTTCTATGGTCAGCACCATTTCAGATCCTGATGGCAATTGTCTTTCTCTGGCAAGAACTGGGCCCATCAGTGCTAGCAGGTGTTGCAGTGCTCATTTTGGTTATACCTATAAATGCTTTTGTTGCTGCAAAAGTAAAACAGCTGAGGGTAAGAAGTCTAAATGGAAATGCTGCAAAAAAATGTGGTGCTGTAGAGAAGAGCTGATTTTTAAGCACAAATGTACTGTAAGCATAAAGTAACTTAAGTCACATCTTTCTTTTGGTGGAGGGGAAGCTTAACTGAAGTAAGGAATGCTTTCTTTTGGTGCCTAATCTAACAATATTAGGATCACTAAACTTTGAAAACAACAATAAAGTGAAGAGATGTTGTCTATGTAGAGGTGTTATATGCTTAACTTTACACAAGTCATCCTATTGAACTCACAGTTTGCAGATTTGGGGCAATAGTTAGGATTCCTAGTTTTAGGTTAAAACTGACTGAAGTACCAACAAAATAGTAAGGTGTGTTCTTTAGGCCTAATTACAAGGGAAGCTATTTTTGTTCTCCAGCATACTGTTTCCACTTGCTTATTCAATGAGGACCCTGGACCTTTGAAGAGGCCTTTGTGAGGTCTGGTGTATGTGTCTGTGAAAATAGTGTCACAGAAGCTTCACCAGATGGAAGGGGGTCTGAGGGAGAGTCTTATACAGAGGTTTCCCTCACTGTATGGATCTTGTTAGTGATGTGAGGGGAGAAGGAGAAAGGTGATGGAGAGTGCAGTGATCTGGACCACTTTTTGCAACAGGTAGTTTTTTTGCCTGAGTGTCCTAATCAACAGAGAGCTGATAGTCAGTGAAACTGACAAGCATGTTTTCATTGTGCAAGTTGAGCAAAGTGCACAAATTAAACGCAGCATAACTAGTAAGGAGAGAGGATTTTTTAAAATCATCTTTTAATAATCAAAGATGTTATCAGCAACAGAGGAAAGGAAATTAAAGGAAATTCTTTTTCTTTTTCAAAAATGTAATTTTTAACCCAAGAATTGCTTCCCATCTCACAAATCAGACTGGGACAAATTATATTTGCTTTTGTCACAGAAATAGTTTAATCATTTTGGGAGAGATTTACCTACCTCCTACTCACTTGCTAAGTGAGTAGGACTGGACTCCTTATGAGTGATTATTAATGTAACATCAATTTGCAAGTGGGTACTACTCCAACGGGGGGGGGGAGCAGGGAGGCATAATATATTCAAGAGTTTAAGGGTACGTCTAGACTACATGCCTCTGTCGCCAGAGGCATGTAGATTAGGCTACCAGACATAGGAAAATGAAGCGGCGATTTAAATAATCGCTGCTTCATTTAAATTTACATGGCTGCCGCGCTGAGCCGACAAACAGTTTGTCAGCTCAGCACGGTGGTCTGGATGCGCGGGTGTCGACATAGCCCCGGTAAACCTCATTCCATGAGGAATAACGGGGCTGCCGACAAAGGGCTTTGATGTTGACGGGGAACGTCCAGACTAGTGTGCGAACCGACAAACAGCTGATCAACTGTTTGTCGGCTCAGCGCGGCAGCCATGTAAATTTAAATGAAGCGTCAATTATTTAAATCGCCGCTTCATTTTCCTATGTCTGGTAGCCTTATCTACATGCCTCTGGCGACAGAGGCATGTAGTCTAGACATACCCTAGGGAATCAACATCTCCATAGTTAGATGGTTAAGCATTTTTAAGATTAATCTATTTTATAATTCTAGAACACTGGGAACTGAAACTCTAATTAGGAACCTTTTAATTAGAATCTAAGAAATGCAGTTATTACTATCATCATGCTACAAGAAGTATTGCAAAAAATCAAGATTTTTTTTTAAAGAGAAAGGGCTATTAGGATGTGCCAATCTCTTTATCATATAATGAATTATATGATTGGGTATAATACATATCAGTTAGCAAATGTGAAGTACATTTAACAATGTAACATGTACAGTACAAATCTATTTTTTCCAAAGGAGTCAATAATAGAGCAGTAGCTGGGTTCAGTGTTTGAAGTACACAGGTGTATTTGAATCTCTGTTATAATTTTAAAAAAATTGTAAGCATTGTTCTTTTTTAACTAGAAAAACCAAATGAAGAATACAGATCAACGAATAAAACTACTAAATGAAATCTTGCATGGAATAAAGGTAATACAAGCAGCTAATGAGTTTCATTGTTCTACCTAATAAAGAAGAGAGACTGTGTTATTCAGAAAACTAGAGTTGTCGCTGAGCCTTTCAGATGATAATACAGGAAAGAAGAATTGAGGGAAAATATGCTTTGTTATATAGCTACTTAAAGTGGATTTTAAAGTATTATTAAAATAAGAGATCTGATTATAAAATATAGATTACCGATCTTTTTTATCATGTTCTGTTTTATTTTTAATGAGCAATTTGTCATTAGCTGTTTGAAAGTAATCACTAAAACTTCCTCTCCCTTTTTTAAAGAACAAAAATGAGTTTTTCTATTTGTCTTTTATGCTTCTTTAAATTTTTAAATATAGCTAGTATTTCAAATTATTCACAGTTTATTCTACATTTTTCTGGGTTTCTATCTGCAGGCATTGGTGCTACTGTAAAATGAATGTAATATTTTCTTTAAGTTGTTACTCTTGTTTGTAAGTAAGGTGGTGAATATTTTCATCATGAAAATTCTAGTGTGATGGACTAGCACCTAGTTGTCAATACAAAGCCTGATATCGCTCCTTCCTTGAACATTTTGTGTTCTCTTCATTAATAATACCATCAGTACTATCTTATATAGTATCTTTCATGTAGATGGATTGCAAGAATTTCTTTCCAGGTTCTATGGTCATAATTGCTTCCATAAAACTACTCCAGTAGCTAAAGGGCTTGGTCCTACTTGTAATTCTTCCATCTGGCATTATGGACTATAGTAAAGGATGTTTTCAGGTGTCCTGAGGAGTCCTTTGGCCATACATTAAATTTACTTCCTAATTAAATAACAATATTGTCTGGCTACACAATAGCATTCTGCATAACAAATTTGATTTTGGAGAAATTATCAATTGGAGAAAAAAACAAGTGTTTTGATATTTACAGTTTTGTTTTGTTCAGCATCTGCAGATGTATTTTTGGAATTTAAATTAGTTTTTAACATTCAAAATCACTGCTGTTTGATTTGCTGTGGTGTAATTTTTTGTTTTGTTTGTGTTTAGATTCTTAAACTTTATGCCTGGGAACCTTCTTATCAGAAGAAGGTTGTGGAAATTCGAGAACATGAAATAAATGTTCTGAAGTCATCTGGGTACCTGACAACTTTCTCCATGCTAACTTTAACCTGTATTCCTTTTATGGTGAGTAACTTAAAAATATCCATTTATGGAGCTAGTTATCACACTCATCTATCTCTGGAGTATCAGAGAGCCTCACAAACCTTAATGAATTTATCACCACAATGTTCCTGTGAGATTGGAAGGTATTATTATAAAACCATTTTACACAGGAAATAGAGAGGTCGTGGCTTGCCTCAGGTCATACAGGAAATCTGTGACAGAGCCAGGAATGAAATCCAAATCTATTGAGTCTAGTTCAGTGTCTTATTCAGAAAACTCTTCTGTAATATAAATAGTCTCACATTCTTCTTTCTTGTGCTAAGTAAGCATCTAGATGCTAAGTAAGCATCTAAGATAAGTTTGCTTTTTTCCATGCTCAGATTTTAATAAGGAAACAAGATTGGAATAGAGGGGCAGAGTCTGGATCTTCTGACAAACTGAAGTAGAGAAGTATGTTTTTCCCCTTTTTATCATCTTTAACAAAACATAAGCCATTTAAAATATACCCATTCTATGTGAAATGTCTAGGTTAGTTAATGTGACTTTCAGAGCACCCAGGCAAAACAATTAATTGGTCATATATATGGCTCAACTTCATTGTCTTCAGTGACTAACCATTTACAGCAGCAGGAAATTTGGCCTTTATTGGAATTTCAGATGTGTTTAGGAATGTAGTAAAACCTAGTTGCTCTCTCTGCCGATTCATTAAAATAAAAACAGTTCATGGAAAGCATTCAGTTTTGACTCTTCCTGTGGAAAAAACTGTAAAAATTTCATAGTTGCCAATTTCCGATTTTAACACTTTTGAAACCAAAAAGTCCTTTTCTTTAGTTCACAATGACTTTTCATTTTGAAATTCCATCTAAATATAGTAAATTAAATTAAAAAATGAAAATCATTAGAATTGAAACAAAATGTTTCATATGTGCTAAATGGAGTTTTTCCTCAGACTGTCATTTCATAGCTATTTGAGGTTGATTTTTTTGTCCCAAATCAGAACCAAAAATCAGTTTCCTGCCCAGTTCTAAAAGAAGCACATTCATTTGTTGGTGTGAGTGGGAATGCAATTGCAAATGACAGTGCCAATATACTGGAAAACAAGCAGTGACTTTTGTGTGGAACATGGGAATACAAATGCCAGTCAACAAATGGAGACTTTTGAGACTTTCACATAGACCGTACACATGAAATCCAATGGGAATATTATCTGTGTACAGACTTAATTATGAAATGGAATTTTATACCACAAGGTATAAGAGCTTGTATTTTATCTAAAGACAGAAGCTTTAGTCAAAGCATGTTAGTTTTAATTTATGGATAGTAGCAGATTATTTCAGTTTGCATTAAGCTATAGTCAACATCCAGCTCTTAATTGCTCTCATCATACTTTTGTAGCAAGAAGTGAAACTAGGCAGAATGGATAAGTAATGGAAAAATAATCATCTCATCTCCTTCCTGCCCCTTTTATTTTTCAAGGTCTCTTTGGCTACATTTGGAGTCTATTTTCTGCTGGATGAAGCAAATGTCCTCACTGCAACTAAAGTTTTTACATCAATCTCTTTGTTTAATATTTTGCGATTACCTTTGTTTGATTTGCCAACAGTGATCTCAGCTATAGCCCAGGTAAAACCTACACCAAATGTGAATAGATACCAGAAAAGAATGGCATTTATGGCTCTTTATTAATCTCTGGTGTCATCTGGGTTAATCTATTTTTAGATGAAGGTTAAGCCACCTGATTATTTCTAGTTTTATTTTGTTGATGTTCTCATGTCTTTGAGGGGTGGAGGAGGCACTGGCGTGGGAGAGGGTTTCAGAGTCTATATTGTCTTTTTGGCTGTGTCTAGACTGCATCCCTTTTCCGTAAAAGGGATGCAAATTAGACACATCGCAATTGCAAATGAAGGGGGGATTTAAATCCCCCCCATAAAGCCTTTTCCGAAAGATCCCTTATTCCTTATTTTAAGAGGAATAAGGGATCTTTCGGAAAAGGCTTTATGTTCCAAAAGATCCACGTCTAGACTGGCGCTTTTTATGCAAATGAAGCGGGGGGGATTTAAATCCCCGCTTCATTTGCAATTGCGATGTGTCTAATTTGCATCCCTTTTACGGAAAAGGGATGCAGTCTAGACACAGCCTTTGAGTATATTAACATATTATAAGGAATGACCAGCAGATGGCATGAATACTGTTCCTATTTCTATTTGTGCTCTATCTCCTGTTTCTTACTCTTGCTCAGTTTCTTGTAGATAAGGTGCTAAAGCCATTTTAAGCAGATTCCCTCTCCATCTTGCTGTCAGACATGGGTAACAAACTATGCTGAATCAAAACTCAGCCCTGCCTGGGATTTGGCTTTATTAACCTGGAAATTAGCATTAGCATCACAAAATTCCACTCACTCCCCCCAACATGGCTGCTGCTTTAGGACAGCTCCATTATAACCCTAAATGTTTATCTCTCTCTCTGAGAAGTAATATACCATCAGCCTGTCTCAGACTTTCTGTCTACTGACACAAAGGTGTTGTTTTTTTTTTTTTTAAACAGCAAGCTTGGAAACAAATCACTCGTAGAGTTTGCCACTAGGTAGCTAGCTGGTCAGCACCCCAATCTGTGGTTGTCTTTGCTTGGTTTATCTTAAATAAAACTCAAGTGCCTTAAATAATAATAGATGAAGCACCCTTTTTTGGCGGGGGAGGGGGCTCAGTGAAGACACAGTCCTTGTGAGTGTGCAGAACTCACATCTCTCTGAGAAGTGAGAGGGCTGAATGCTGTCCTACAGGGTGTGGTGTTGCACATGACCACGGCTGTCAGCCTAATTCATTGGTCCCCAGACTTAACAGGATTGTGCCTTTCCTTAGCCCTCTGTCTTTCTTCCCTCCTCCTCTCCCCCCCCCGCCCTGCTGCCAGGGCCTGGAGTGGGCTGTGTCTTGGTAGGGGAGCATGGAGTCCTGTCACTGGAGTTGAAGCTGGGGTGGGGCTGGAGCAGGGAATGGGGCCCTGCCCGGAGTCCAATCCTCGGGGCTGGGCTTGGATACAGTCAAGGGATGAGAGTGGTTGCAAGTCTGGAGCACATATGGGGACAGAGTGGGATTGGGTGGCACTCTCTCCCCACATGGCCTGGTACAAACTTCACCTCACCCCCGGGAATGTTTTTCCATGCCCCAATACAGGGGCATGCCCCACAGTTTGGGAACCATTGGCCTAACTCCTCACTCACCTTTTTGAAAAGTACATAAGGAAAACATTTCCTATTCAGTGCAAGAATGTCATCGCCCCTCTCACAATAAACTAATATGCTTCTTTCTTAGTGTAACTTAGAATATACACAGTTTTGCTTAAACATCTAAATGGCATAAATGTTTGTGCATTCTGCAGACAAAGGTTTCTGTGGGTCGTTTAGAGGATTTTTTAAATTCTGAAGACCTTGACCCTCAAAACATTGACTCCAACTACAGTGGAAGTAAGTAGGGTTTTGTTGTTGTTGCTGATGTTGTTGTTCAATATCTGCAGAAACAAACTGATTAACCAGCAATATCAGCTGAGGGGCTATTTCTGTAACTCATTGTTTCTTTTTCTTTATTGCAACAGATCATGCTGTGGGATTTATCGGTGCTTCTTTCCGATGGGAAAATACTGGACCTTCGATCTTAAATAAGTAAGAAGTCTTAGGTTTGTGAAGAAACTTTGAACAAGAATCTGTGCCAGCATCCCATTCTGCTGGGCTGAGTTAACATAGCTTTGATCATAATAGTACAGTTGGCCTAGTGTAAGGTGCAGCATGTTGTGATGTTCCAGAATGGTGGCTGACTCCCCAGACCAGAGTATCACCTCCAAACCTCCTCATTATTCAGGGAATATAATAAATCGAAAGCAGCATTTGCTCCCTGAAGTGCTGGCACTGCGATGAGACCAAGTGTGTAGGGGAATGTCTTCATTCAGTCATTCATCTGCACAGAGAGCAAACATTGAGCCTGCATTGCTACTCATGATGCAAGTAGTCAGCACAGGAACTCACAAGGGCTCTTACTGTTATCAATCTTGTACTGTGTGCTGTTGTGGCTTCCTACTTTGCTGTTGCCCCCATTCTGCAATTGATAGTGCATGGGCAGGCTGCTGTGTCTGTGAATAGTTGGTGGTATAGGGTGCACTCACAGGTGGTGGCACCACCGTCTGGCCAGGCATTGCGCCCTTCTCTGGTGTTCTCTCTCCCGTTATCCTACTGTCTTGCAGGCCCCTCTCATTCTACGAACTGCAGCCATGTCTTCATGACTCAGCCCTCCAGTCAGATCACTACATGTTCCCCTTCAAAGTACCTCAAGATAGATGGGCCCCTACAGTCTTCTTGCTTCTGTCTTGCCAGGGTCAATTTGCTAGGGGGACCTGGGTCTGCCCTCTACTCCATGTTCCAGCTCGGGGGTCCTCTAGTCAGCAGCCAACGTCTGCACTTCTGTTCCTTGCTGCTATTCCCTGAGCCTTTTCTGCTCCCTCCTTCTCCCGGCTTTGCAAGCCACCCCAGAGAGGAACCATGGACTACCCTCCATAGTCTTAAACATGCCTTCTTTCTCCCAGGGAGTAACTGCAGCCTGCTTCCCTGCAGCCCCCAGAACCCTCCTCTTCTTTGCCAACTTCTTAGCTTATAAAAGCCACATCTGTTCACTGTCCAGCTGCACCTGTTCTACTTACACCCCTAGGTCCTCTTCCAGGTGCAGCCTGGAGAGGCAATTGGCCTACATGGCCTCCTTAGCCCTTTCAAGCCTCGTTTGGGGTGGCTATCCCATCACATCTAGTTAACTTGAGTAGAAATACTCACAGTAGTAAATGTTTTGCCTAGCTATAGAAGTCTGTAGGAAATGGCTCTTCAAACTGTAGTCAATTCTTAAAAATGTCAGGGCTTCACAAACTGTGTCACATATCTGCATATGTTGACCCAATGATTAGGGCCCTGCCAAATTCACACCCATGCAAAAGATGTCACGGATGGTGAACTCTTGTATCTGGCCTTTTGTATGCTTTTACCCTATACCATACGGATTTCAGGGGGGGGACCAGCATTTCTCAAATGGCAGGTCCTGACCCAAAAGGTAGTTGCAGGGGGATTATAAGGTTATTTTAGGATGGCATGGTATGGTATTGTCACCCTTACTTATGTGCTGTCCTCAGAACTGGACAACTGGAGAATGGTAGTTATAATGTTGATTGTGTGCCCAACTGTGAAGGCAGAACCCTGCTATCAGCAGTGCAGAAGTGGTGGTGGGGCAATACCATTCCCATATCATCCTTCAGTGCTGCTGCTTTCAGAGCTGGGTGGCTGCTGATTAAGGGTCCAGGTTTGCAGGCAGCAGCACAGTGGCAATACTATACCGTGCCGTCATTACTTCTGTGCAGTTGCTGGTGATAGCTCTGCCTTGAGAGCTGGATTCCTGGCTGGCAACTACTGCTCTCCAGCTGCTCAGCTCTGAAGACAATGCTGCTGCCAGCAGCTGCAGAGAAGTAGAAGTAGCAATACCACGACCCCCATACAATAGCTTTGTGATCCTCACACAACTCCTTTTGGGTCTGGACCCCTACAATCACAACACTGTGAAATTTCAGATTTAAGTAGGTAAAATCATAAATTGTATCATTTTTAAAATCCTATGACCATGAAATTGACCAAAATAAGGGTGTTAAATTGTGATTCATCAGCTAATTGAGTAGTCAATGGAATTTCCATTGACTACACAATTAATTGATAAGAGGGAGCACTCGCTACCCAGACTGCCGCTCTGCAGTTTAAATGTAACAGGAGCTGGGTGTGTTGCAGCCTGAAAAATCCCAGGTAGGAAAGAATATGAAGCACCCAGCATGAGGGTGATTGTAAGAGTAATGCAACTTATTGGTGTAATAATTCTTACCCATCCTCATGTTCAACAAATCTAGGGTGATTACAATGTATTGTGACTTTTTATCACGCAGAGAGGCACTAAAGTCTCCTGAAGGCCATAGTTTTTCAGGGTTCTAGAGTATGCTTTAGTCACAGGAATCCAAATTGATATAGTCACCTCCTCAGTCACAGTGGAGTAGGCTGTATTTTTGTCCTTCAGTGTCCATGGGAGAGGATTCTGCTCTGTACACAGTACATTGTTTACCGAGGATAAGTGTTGTCTGTCTTCCTACATGTTTCGAGTTTGAACATGAAGATCCCAGAAGGCTCTTTAGTTGCTGTTGTGGGGCAGGTTGGATCTGGAAAGTCATCTCTACTTTCTGCTATTCTGGGAGAAATGAACAAGTATGAAGGAACAGTCCAAAGAAAAGTAAAGTTGGTTTTGCTTCTTCTGTCTACGTTTGCACTGTTATTATATGACTTTTACAGAAGATTGTTTATTTGTGAATGTAGTAAAATATATTGGCTGTGGAAGCATTTATTTTAGTCTGCCCATTGGATCCTTTGAAAAATAATGACTGGGTAGTATTCATGTTGCTTGTCAAGTTAACTGACTTGCAGCTACCTACACTAATATGATTTCGTCTTCATTTTTAGTAATCTATAATTATTCATTGCAAAAATCCTTAGGATTATGATAATGTGCCAAGCCTAAAGCATCCTCCAGTAGCTGGTGTAGAAGAGTTCTACAACCATAACTCATTTGGAGCAGCGATATAGTCTTGTGGGAGAAGTTAGACCTTTCACAATGACTTACACATAGAAAAGAGAGCACATTTAAATGAGGGAAAGTGAGTTCTGGACAGAAATGGAAGGAAGTTCATCCTGTTCCTGTCAAAACAACTTATTTGGCATAAATTTTCTTTGATTGAACATAATGAAGAAAGTGTCCAAGTGCCCATCACAATAAAATAGACTTTAAATTGGCTTATATTAGGCTGAAAGAGCTATGCAGAAAGATAACCTCTCAACATAGCTTGAACTAATAATAATAGTATATTATAGTGGAAACTTAAAAAAAGAAGTGGGAACTCTTTGGGACAGGAAACTATTTAGAGTATGCTACAGAAGAGAGAATATGGATTCGTTGGGGGGAGAGGATGATGTCAATGAATCTCATCATGTTTCTCACTAAAATTAATAGATTTTCATAAATGTATTCATTTGAGTAAGAAGGATCCAGTATAGTGAAGTACTCAGTAGCTCTTAAATGATCACTGCTGTCCCATAAAACCATGTTAGTTTCTAGTAGTTGTCATTTTTATCCATCTGGATAATCAGTGATACATAAAGTCACTGTACATAGCCAAGTAGTGTCCAAAATTAAGCATAACTTCACCTTTTTGTTCTATTTTGAGCAATGCTTCAAAACTGGCTCTATAAAAAGTACAAATTAAACCAAAAAATAATCTTCCCATATATGCCCCATACTAAGTATAGGTCCAGTTTTGCTATCTTTATATGCACTGAGCAATAGCTTTGTACGCAAGAAGTCCTATTGCTGTCAGTGAGGCTACACAGTAAGATAGATTTTACTCGATGTGTATAAAGGTGACAGGCTTTTGTGTGCAAATGCCCTCATAACATGCACAGTATTTCAGCCACAATCTTCCATGCTTTGTTCTGGGGCATTTGACTATTTAGAATTCTAACATTTTAACTATGCTAATATTTTAGAAGTAATAACTAATGACTTCATCTAGGAATATAATTTGAACAGAACTTGTTCTTAAAAAGTTATCTTGCCACATACAGGACTGTCCAAATGAGAGTATTTTGCTTTTTCTCTTTATTTAGGGTTCAGTAGCTTATGTTTCCCAGCAGGCCTGGATTCAGAATTCCATTTTGCAAGAAAATATTCTCTTTGGCTTAGGTCTAAACAGGTCATATTATGAGAGGGTTTTGGAAGCCTGTGCTCTACTACCAGATTTGGAGCAGTTACCAAATGGGGATCAAACAGAGATTGGAGAAAGGGTAAGAACTTGAAACATCATAAGAAGTCACTTAGCTGAGCTATGGTTCACAAATGCATTTATTTTGTTAAGGCTATGTCTGTACTACATTTATGTCTGCAAAACTTACGTCACTTAGGGGTGTGAATATTCCAGTCCCTGAGTGGCATACATTATGCCTGGATAAGCACTAGTGTGCACAGCTCTACGTTGGCAGAAGAGCTTCTCCGGCCACCACAGCTACAGCCACACATTGGGGCTGGATTCATGATGTTGACGAGTGAGCTCTCTCTCATTGGCATAGACCAGCTTCATGAGATATCTTCCAGCAGCACAGCTGCTTCAGTACAGCTATGCCGCTGTAACCTCTCTCATGTGACACAGCCTAATTGACATTAAACATGAAAAATACTGGAAAGGCCTAACTCTTCCCCAAATGAAATCCATGGAAACAGAGTTAGGCCAATGCTGGTTGCTTTTGAAAACCTCCTCCTTCCACCTGTTTGTTTTGGTTTTTAGTATTCATTCCATTATCTGTCTTATTTGCCTGGATATATTGCTAGATAAATTGTCAGATACCACTGTTGTCTTCATCTTTTCATGTTAATTGTTTTGGTCCCTTTAGAAAAGCTAAACAAAAAACTTCAAAGAAACAAACAAACTTTATTAAACTGACATTAAACAATGATGGAGTAAAAATTGTTATTGTCATTGGTACTTTGTTAATTGTTTCCAGTGATTCCCTGTTATAGAAGTTACAAATATTTCTATAAAAAACTTTGTACAATTAGGAAATTATTAAATAAAAAATCACTAAACTGATCCCCCTTTAAGAACATAAGAATGGCCGTACTGGGTCAGACCAAAGGTCCATCTAGCCCAGTAGCCTGTTCGCTGACAGTGGCCAGCGCCAGGTGCCCCGGAGGGGGTGGACCGAAGACAATGATCAAGCGATTTGTCTCGTGCCATCCATCTCCAGCCTCTGACAAACAGAGGCCAGAGACACCATTCCTACCCCCTGGCTAATAGCCTTTTATGGACCTAACCTCCATGAATTTCTCTAGCTTCTCTTTAAACTCTGTTATAGTTCTAGCCTTCACAGACTCCTCTGGCAAGGAGTTCCACAGGTTGACTATGTGCTGTATGAAGAAGAACTTTCGCTTATTAGTTTTAAACCTGCTACCCATTAATTCCATTTGGTGTCCTCTAGTCCTTATATTATGGAAACTAATGAATAACTTTTGTTTATTCACCCTCTCCACACCACTCATAATTTTTTATACCTCTATCATATCCCCCCTCAGTCTCCCCTTTTTCAAACTGGTTTAATGGGACATTTAGCTTTTTAAGCAAAACTATTTAAGTGTGTGTGTCATCTGCCGGTCTCCTTTAAAACTTAGTGGTTATAGCTGAGGCATATTAATAAGCTACTGCACCATCCTATGAAAAAAAATTAAAAACAACGAAGAGTTCTGTAGCACCTTAGGATACGTCTACACTGACATTATTCCGAAATAACGAAGACCGTGTATACATAGCAAGCCTTTGTTTCAAAATAATATTGAGTTGGAGGACTTCTTACTCCAGCGTCTGTAACCTTAATTTTATGAGGAGTAAGGGAAGTTGGAGGAAGAAGGTTCTTCCTTCAACTTCTTGCTATGTAGACTGCACCAAAAGCTGAATTAAGCTATTTTGACTCAAGCTATGCAACTGACATAACTCAAGTTACGTAGTTTAATTCAAGTTTTGCCCTGATGTGTAGACGTGACCTTAGAGACTAACAAAAAATGTAGGTGGTATCATAAGCTTAAATTATTTCTATTTCTCTACTCTATTTTTGAAAAATGTTTTTGATCTTTTGGAAGAAAGAGAAGGAAGAAATTATCATAAAGGTGTCATTTTAGTGTATTAGATAAACACAGCTTTCATAGTTGCAGTATTTTCCCTCTGTAAGATGTGGTGGTAGAATGCTTTCCCATTAGTTGGAACTACAGGGTTGGGAAGTGCACCTAGTCAAGGACCTCTTATTTTATTTATAAGTAAAATAGATTAATGTATTACTGGATTAGTATCAAGCTGGAGAGTTTCCCTTATCCATAATTTTGCTTTCCCTATCTACCCCTTTTTCCAACTTGAACACTAACACACAGATACTTTGCTTATCATAAATCACTCTTGTTTTTTGGAGGTTGCACACGTTTGACACAAAGGAGATGTACTCTGTAAAATACATTCATATCCTTTCCTAGTCCTCAGCCTGGGGGTTTGCTAGTGTTTCTGTGTGGAAGGTAGCAAGGGAACCAGAATGGAAAAGCTCAATTGAAAACTCTTTCAAATAAAGCTAAGTGGGCATTTGAAAATCTGTAGGAGGATTTGTAGATACCTATAAAAAGTTCCTCTTTTGAAGTAAAGCACTGTCCCTACTTCCATGCTCTACTGTTGACTTACAATAGCTGTTTTAAGCAGTAAACAGTTACTTTAGCCCGATAGCCTTCCAGAAGAATAGAAAATAAATTAGAAGTGTATATTAAAACTACCATAAATATGTTTCAGACATGGTATTTCATCTTGAAGAGATTTACTTAGACTAGTTGCACTAAGTGGCTTAGTGGAACTGACAGGAGCTAGACATGTTGATTCAGAATGGCTGTAAATTGTGTGTGTCTGTTTTGACTGGTTTGAAATATAAATATAAGTGTGGGGCAGAAGCAAAGAGTTAGTCTGGCTAGAGCAGTTTACAGCAATGCTGACCTCTATCTTCTGGATGACCCCTTGTCTGCTGTAGATGTACATGTTGGAAAGCACCTTTTTGAGAAGCTGATTGGGCCCTCAGGGCTCTTAAAAAACAAGGTAAATAAAGTAGTCTTCACATAGTTCATCAGGCAAATTAAAAATCTTCAGCCATGTCTGCATGGCCTGGTATATGTGGTAAAGAGAGGGAGCACCTTCTCTGAAGATGTGCAGTAAGAAAGTCTTTTAATCATGCTATTTGAATTATATCAAGAAGACCTATGAATACGGGCAATGTCGATACTTAAGATGGGCTGACCTGAACGTCTCAGAGGGTATGTCTACACTGCATTCCTCTTTCGAGAGAGGAATACAAATGCAGCTGAGCAAAATTGGAAATGAAGCGCAGATTTGAATTTCCCATGCTGAATTTGCATAAAGGCGTCCAGGTGCTTTTTCGAAATACCCTATTTTGAAAGAAAAAACGCAGTCTAGATGGGGTTATTTCTAAAAGAAACCCTTATTTCGAAATAACACTTACTCCTTAAAAACTGAGGTTTAAGGGACTGAAGCCTGCAGTCAAGACATAGACCAAGACACTTAAGCTTTGAAGATCTTCTGTTAGAATTAGAAATGAACATTTTTATTTTTCTGAATATTTGTATTTATAAAGCTGACAGAACATGCCTTAAGAACCAGGTATACAACAGCAGCATAATAATGTGTAATTTCAATATTTATTGTAGTATGTAACAATGGTAACAATTTCTTCAGATCTAGTTGGTTGCTTTAAAGAAGCAGCTAGATCAGTTTCTAAGACCATTCCATATACAATTCTCTTGAAAAATACAACCACCACCCTGTATTGCTAGAACACATTTAATTTTATTATGGTAAAAAATAAAATGTTTTGTGTTTCAGACACGTATTTTAGTGACCCATAATCTGACACTCCTGCCTCAGACAGATGTTATAATTGTAATGGAAGATGGTAGGATAGCACACATGGGAACCTATCAAGAGCTGCTCTCAGAAAGAGCTAACTTTGCTGAGTTCCTTCAAATCTTCAGTGCAGAAAATAAAAGTGAAGATCCACCTCAAGTGAAAGGTGAGCACATCCATTATTTTTTAATATAGCATGTTTTCCTAAAATCTAGTTTTACTTTTCCACATCAATTGCTAAGAAAATATTTTTTTCTTTTGGGGAAAAAAATGAAACTTTACCACTTGTTTGAATTCAGCAAGGTTTAGATGCTGAGATTCCAAGAGATAAACTGGAATAAAATTCAGGCACTGTTAAATTAGCAAATCATTGACTTCAAGCACCTATAGGCCCTCATATGATCAGGCTCTATGTGAATATAAGTCATTCCTGGAACAGGGAACTGCCACACATTTTTTCTGATGATGCTTTTTTTACCCTGGTAATTCCAAATTGATGTTAGTCAAAAATTCATTTTGGTGTACCTGGTGCTTCAAGAATTCTGACTTGGATAGCCATGTTTAATTATTACATTAACACCCACTTATTCATCATTAATTTGTGTAATGTGACATTAGAAACCCTCTCTAGCTCCATAAATTTATGGATCATGCTATGGTGAAGTATGGCAATCTCACAACATTTCTTTTCCTTTTGCAAATGTACAAAGAAAGCATTTTGCACTTTTTAGAGGGATGTTTAGGCTTAACATAATACCTAGCAAAGAGTTCTTACAATATTGCTGGGAAACACTTTTTCTATGGAAAATTTCTCAGTAGGTTTTTTTTATTATTATTTAGTTTTTTTTGTAACCTCTTCCTCTAATGCTGAGAGAGTATCATCTCTTTCTGTATAATAGTTACGCAATAATTACGTTTTCAGATTGCAAATGCTGCTCTTATTTTAGAAGTTGAAGTGTTTTTTAGTTAGCAGGCCTCTCTGGTGATGATATACAGGTTGAACTTCCCAAATCCAGGACTCTCTGGTCCGGCAACATCCATGGTCCAGCAGAGCAATGGATTTTGCTGGACCAAATTGCTCCGGAGGCAGGAGCAACAAGGGCTGGGGAGTCCCAGCTGGGCCAGTAGGCATCTAGGGAGACCCCACCCTGGCTGAGAATTCCCAGTGTCAGTGGCGCCAGGTGACCGAGAAGTCCCAGCCCCAGCCAGGGAACCCCCCAGTTTTAGTGAAGCTGTCGGTGGCCACGTGTCCCTAGCCAGGAATCCTGGCAAACCCCCAGTGGCTGTGGGGCCGGGGTGAGCGGGCAGCCTCTCCTGGGGAACCCTCCAGTTGAAATGGGGTTGGTAGAGGCAGGCAGCTGGAATCCCCAGCAGCAGCAGGGAGGCTCTTGCAGCAGGGCGGGGTGGCCAGGCACCCCATCTGGGAACCCCCAGTTGCAGCAGGGCTGGCGGTGACAGGGTGGCTCCACCCAGGAACCCCAGGAACGCTCTGTGGCAGCGGGGTGGGCAGCAGCCAAGAGGTCCCTGCCGGGAACCCTGGGATACCCCGGGGCAGTAAGGTGGGGAGCTGTGCTGGGCCAATGTTGGGGGAGAGGGGGGCATTGGCAGGGCAGGGAGCCCTAAGGAGTGGAGTCTAGGAGCGAGGCAGCCAGCAGAGGATCACTGTCCTCCCCTGGTCCGGCAAATTCCCTGGTCTCAGACTGCTTAGGTCTGAGGGAACCAAACCAGGGAGGTCCGACCTGTATTTTTGAAAAATAGTGAGGTGGAAGTTCATCAGTTTTTCCATAATGAAATAGGCCTGATTCAATAGAGAATTTATTGTCCGACTTCTACAAGGACACTCCTAACGACTGTTAAGTAAAGATAATTAACACATACGCTTTAAAAAGCAGTTACTATATATTACAGAGATATAATTTACAAATATCTGAGAACAGGCAAATCCCTTTCTTAATGTTCAATTGTAGCATGCAGTAGAAGCATGACTGTGAATGAATTATAAAGGGTAAATGGACAAAAATATAGGTGCAGTCAGCACAGTGTCCACACTGCATGTAAAGCGGGTGTTTGGCGGGATGTTGGCCAGATTTTCCAGAGGACGGCAATAGATCTTCATGGCAGAAAGGAACAAGCTCAGAAACGGCTGCAAAAAGGTGGGTGGGTGGTGGTCAGCTTTGCAGCACTGACTCAACCCCTGGAAATATAAGGTTGTGAGGGTGCACGCCCTGTCTTTGGAAACCCCTTTCCTCCATACCAGAGACAGTGCATCACCCATCATCCCTTCCTTTGGGGTGTGATTATCAGGTGGGGTTTGAATCTGCTGTGGGCATTGTGCTACTCACTTTTCTTTAGAGGGGCTGGGAAGAAATTTTCCCGTCATCACCATAGTGATTTTGGTGGAGTGAGGGGTTTTTTCACTTCTCCCATAGCAGGTGTCAGGGAAAACCTATTATGAAGAGGAGGAAAGGGAGTAGGCTGTATATTGCATCTTGTTTTGCAGGTGTGGGGCAGATACCCAGTGCAGGTATGCCATAGTGAAGTCTTACAGAGACCAGATAAATGGCCAGGTAAAGGACTTAAAAAGGAGGTGCTGATTAAAGGAACAAAATGGTGTGGTGTTTGAGGCGCCAGTGGTTGGAACAATAGGGAACCAACCCCCCTTTTCTTATAGCCCACATTAGTCCTGCTATGGTGATAAGGTCCTAGCAATGGATTTTCTGAAGGGATTTGGATGCAAAAAGTGGGGGTGCTGGGTGCAAGCCCTCCAGGTACTTACGGAATAAACAGAGCAGTTACCTGCACTGTACACTTTTATTGGCTGGGGCTGGAATTCAGCACTTCTCATACTAAAGCCTTGTCTAGATTTTTAAAAAAATATGTTCCATTTTTCACTGCAGTGCCTTCTTTAAAGAGAGAAAGTCAAAAAGGCAATATTCTGCCTCAAAAAGAGCTCCTGGGGCATAAAGACAGGTAAGTACTGAGAACAAGCTGTACACAGCCTGGCTCCAATTTGGGGAAAATAACTGAAGTAATGCTACAACTGTTCCAGACTCCTGCATGTAGAGAGTGCACAGTGCAAGATTTGGGTTCAAAGTCGGGCTTTAGGGGAGGGGCTGCTTACATCATTTCTACTCCACGTATTCATAAACAATATTAAGAATATGGCTTTGTTTCTTGTGTTTTTACTCCTGCTGCTTCCTAGCTTTGGTTTGGCTTGTTTTTTGTGCTTCTCTGTTCTGTTTGGTAGCTAAGTAGATTCCTAGGGGTGGATATCTATTCGTAGGTTTGTGAAACACTATGTGCACATAGGACACTACATCAATCATGATTATTGTATCTGGCTCTGCTAATATTTTAATAAGCGTGGAAATACACTGTGCCATGTCCAAGGAAAACGAATTCACAGACCTTTAAATTCACTGGGTTTTTGTTCAAGATTAATTCTGTGTGTTTGTTTCATTCACTTCATGTTTAATATTAAAATAAAATTATCATTGTTATTTGCAGTTCTGCCTTTGAACAAGCCAAAGCATCCTCAATGAAGAAAGAAAATGTTGCTACTGGCAGTGTAAGCATTAGATAAATTACCTTTATAGTTTTCTATATACAGGTAATTTATTAAAGTAATTAGAGGCAGGGCTGGTAGCACCACCTACTACGATTTCCTGACATTGTCCATTATAAGAACGCATTTTCAGTTATTTGAAGCTTTGCCAGACATTAACTGTTTGGCCTGAAATTTTTCATGCTAGACATCTGCCTCAAGGTGAATGTTTTGGAGAAAATTCAGCCAAATAGTTCAGCTGTTTCTGAGATAGGGGCTAGAGAAAAACATGTTTTGCCCACATAAAAAATAATTCTGGTGGCCTCCTCTTTGAAAAGTTCTTATGTGTCTGTGTTTTGAAACAGGAGCTTGAAATTTGGTAAGCCTTTGTGTCAGGGATTGCTTTTTGTGGTCACTGAAAATCTGCCAATATTTGAACAAGTTACTAGCCTCTAAAAATCACGTTAAGTGGTCTGGAAAATAAGGTCTGAGATGCCTGAAATTAGGCGCTGAAAATTACTGGATACCTATGAGCTGAATTTTGCTGTGCCTCAGCTTTCAGTCTGTAAATGGAGGTGAAGCCCTTCCCTTTACAGGGTGTCATGAAAGTTAATAAATATTTGTGTAGCACTCAGCTACTGTAGGGACAAGCATCATAAGAAAGTCCATGAGAAAATTCATAATTCTGTATTCAAAGTAGATTTGAACAGCTTGAAATAAATAAGGTCACAGCAGTCATTATTTAGTGAGTTGAAAACAAATAATGAATAATTGCTTGTTAAATGAACACCATTAATGTTGTGCATCTGAATGAGACTGAGGTCCTATTAAGAAAAATTGTGTCTTATCATGCAATTATTGATTGTACTGTAATGCATTCACAGAAAGGGGGAAAGTTTCAGGTGCTTAGGTGACCTTACTTATAGCATTTCCTAACCTTTTTATGCTTGATTTTGAAGCCTTAATGTTCATTTTAAAGTTTTATGTAGTATATATTAAAGGTATTTCTTCAGAAAAAGTGACAATTTTTATTATAAAGGAAAAAAAGTATTGGGCGGGGGGGGGGGCGGGGGAGATTTTTGGAGACCCAAAACATGACTGCATGTGATTTAAATTATTGGATTTCATTATTTACATGAATGTCTAAATGAAGTTAGTATATTCAGTTCATTTACTGTAATTTGCCTTCCACAGTGTCATTTTTCATAACTCCTGTGCTTCTCTTGTATTTAGATGAAGATGTCAGTGGTTTTGAAATATCTGCAAGCATTTGGCTGGCTATGGGTATGGCTAACCTTAATTGCTTATGTAGGACAAAATGCAGTAGCCATAGGACAAAATCTGTGGCTTAGCACCTGGTCAGTAGCAGAAGAAAAAAATAAGGATTACGGAGAATGGAAACACTTAAGAAACAATAAACTTGGTGTCTATGGGCTTTTGGGATTCATACAAGGTAAGACTAAGGATGCAAAACTTTATTTTCTCAGTATTTGCAAAGCTTAGTTGCCTGCGGTTGCTAGATGTGTAATACAATGACAAACCATATTGGTTATTCTTTAATCAGATATGAGTACAGCAGCAAAAAAGAATCACTTCACTTTTTGCGTGGGGGAATGATCGGGTGAAAGGATCAAACTAGGAAGCTGTAAAGTGAAAGAATGATTGAAAAGGCAGATTGAACTAGTTTGTACTATGGCTGTCCTTGGAACCAAGTCAGTGTTATTGTGTGAACAAGTGCACATTTTATCTAATGAGATGTTACTGTTTTTGTGGGATTATATGTGATTTGCTTATGAAGGAATAAGATGGATTAACAAAGTGTAAACACATATGTGTATAAAACAAAACTTCATAATGGGCCTACCAGGCTGAAGTGGGATGCCTTTGGGAAAAAATAGGAACATGATAGTGTTTTATTCATTTATTTATTCATTTATTTTTTTAGGTCTTATGGTCTGCTATGGTGCATACGTGCTTACCCGGGGATCCCTCTGTGCGTCTCGGACATTGCATAATCAGATGTTAGACAACGTACTCCATCTTCCCCTCCAGTACTTTGAAACTAATCCCGTTGGGCAGATCATCAATAGATTCACAAAGGTAAAGGAAAAACAATGAAAAATAAGTTCACATTTTAAAGAACTTCAACTTTAAAATCAAAGAGTAATAACAGATGCTAGTCATCAGTTTCAGTATAGTACCACAGAACACTTTCCTGCAAAAATCAGCAGTGCCTATACCTTTTAACAACTTAAGGCCCTTCAATTGTTCTTGCCCCATGGTCATTGGGCGTGCATCCCTCAGAGCATAGTCCTTGCAATCTAGAGGCGTTAAGCTGAGTTGAGCTCAGTCTGGTTTTAAAAGATTGTAAGTTTTATATCTTGCTAATGCATTGCTACTTAATATAAAAAATCGCAGACAAACTATGTTGAATGAACACTAAGTTGCAAAATTCAAGCTCCCAAAGTTAGAATCCTGCGCCCCTGGCTAAATACTTCTTTCAGTGCACAGAATGGATGTTGCTCAGGAAATGATCTTCCCTAACTTTTGAGTGTGTGATTTTGCAATCTTAATATTTGTATTTTTTATTTTTTATGGACTGTCTTACATTAACAAAAAAAATTCAGTTTCTTATAACTGTAATGTTTCTATCATAAACACAGTTTGAACCCACAAGTTTCAGCACTGCCCACAAACTTCTGGTACTCGAGCTAAAAAATGGTGTGGAGTTGCTGGTAAGCTGCTGTCTTCTGTGGGCTGAACCCAAAGAGGATGCAGATTGCTCTGAAATAGACATCATAATCACATACTTAGATTTGGTAGCTTCTTTCTGAGAGGCAGTGTGGCTAAATTAATGAGACTTGGATCTGCTATGAGAATCAGGGTTTTGTTCTCAGCTTTTGTAACCTGAGGGTGTGATTAGTAATACAGATTATAAAAAGAACAGAAATAACAAGAGTCAGTAGAAAAGTTGAGCATTGAATTCATGAGGTTCCCAGTCTTGTAGGCCTTTCTTGGCTACATAGTGTTTTGAGAGGGAAAAGCATTAATAGCTGCTACTATGAATTTGTCTGTGGCAGTTGTGTGTGGCATGCTATGCTACTGATCTCACTAACCAACTATGGAACACTGATATTTTAGCAACAAGCCTCTTACAAAGTCTACTGAGAAAATTTTAGATGGGAAAAGGCAAGTAATTATATCTATTTCTAGTATTAGACAGACTACAATATGTTAAATTAATCTGTTGTATATAAGTACACTACCAGAACTTCCTCCCAACAATTTTTGCTGAAGTAAAAGGATTTTGGTGGTTAGAGTTCAGAGTCTAAAGACAATTTTTGAGAAATGTCTACAGTTTTAGCAAGGAGACATTAAAACTAATTTTTCTGTGTAATTTTACAGGACGTGTTTATCCTTGATCTACGCTTCCATTACTACTTACGCACCTGGTTAAACTGTACACTAGATGTTATTGGAACCATTTTAGTGATCGTGTCTGCTTCACCACTCTTCATATTGATAGTTATTCCCCTAGGATACTTGTATTTTATTATCCAAGTAAGTTAAACTTTTACAAGAAGTGTGAGTATGAGAGAGAATAAAAAATCATTATTAAGCAGTGACTAAAACATTTGAGAATAAATTATACACCTTTCCTGAAAACCCCACGTAGAAACCTAAAAAACTTTTTAGTATTCTGCCGCTGACTTTAAAAGATCCTCATGCTTCTCACAGTTATCCAGAGTGGTAAAACACATTTTGAATGTTTCTTACAATTATGATTATCTTTGTCAGTGACTTCCTTACTTTCCTGCTCATCTTTTTTCTCAGACAAGTTATGATGTTGTAGGCCAGTGGTCTTCAACCTTTTTACACTCAAGATCACTTTTTAAATGACAGACCAAGCCAAGATCTACCGCCTGCCCCTTCCTTGAAACCCCACCCCTTCCTTGAAGCCCCGCCCTCTCTATTCTCCTTCTCTCCATCACTTGCTATCCCCAATCCTTATACTGCTTTTAAAAAAAAAATTCTTCTGTAGGAAGGGGTTTTTCCAACATTTGTCCTGTCTAGACTGGACCAAATGTCAGAAAAATCCCTTCTTTTGGAAGCCCCCTTATTCCTCGGGGGGATAGGATTCTGCAGTAGGGAATAAGGTGCTGGTGAGGTCTGCAGGGGGGGGCAGGGTGCCAGGAGGGCAGGTTTCTGCAGCGGGGGGGAGGCAGGGGAGAGGGAACAGGGCGGGGGAGAGGTTTGGGACAGGGGAGAGGGAACAAGGTTCAGGGGCAAGGAGTCACCTACACCAGCCGCAAAGGGAAGCCTCCATCCTGCGCTCCCTCTGGGGCCGACCGTCCTCCCCCCCCCCCACCGCCCCATGAAAGAAGGAAGCCCCGTTGCGTGTCTCTGCCAGGCCTGACCCCTCCCACTGAGCAGGGAAGCCCACTCAGGTGACCTCGTGGAGGCAACCCCCACGCGCCCCTGCCCCGGGGCTGAAACCCCCCCCGCATGCCTGCCCTGGGGCCAACACCCGCCCCCTGGCACAGAAAAACCCCACGTGCACCTGCCCTAGGCCGAAACACACCCCCGCAGCACAGGGAAACCCTGCGCGTGCCTGCCCTGAGGACAACTCACGCCTCCTGCGCCGGTGCAGGGAAGTCACCATGCTCCTCTTCCGGAGCCAGGGTCCCCTCCCGCATCATGCCTGGCAAAGCAGCCAGCGCACTTCCGGAACTCCTGGAAGTGGCGCTAAACTGCAGGACTTCCGTCCACCTTCCGTCCACCTGGGAAGCTGGCACTGCCTCCATTTTTGCTGGAGGTAAGTACTGGGGCTTCTTGGGGGTGGGTGGAAAATGGGAGGGGGCCTGGTCGCCTCGCGATCGACTGGTCAAAGCCTTGCGATCAACCAGTCGATCGTGATCGACCTGTTGGTGACCACGGTTGTAGGCCCTCAAAGAAAACAAATAAAGCTGTATGATTAAAAATGGGCATGCAGTATGGGAAAATGAAAGTGTCAGGCAAAACTTGAAGTGGGGTATATAAACCCTGGAACAACATGTGCAGATATTTGTAGGCCTAGCTTACTTCAAGGCCATACGTATTTGAAGCATCGAGGAACAGGAACTTAGAGAAATCCCTTAATTGAATTTCAGTCGTTATTTTAATGTCAGTAAAACTGCCTTTTGAAACATTGGCTTCCCCATTTCCACTCCAGGCTCTGTTGATGTTAGGCATGTTCAGAATAAGTGTTCCCTCTAAGCTGCATGGCAGCATAGCTTCACAGGTGATTAATCAGCCCCATCCAGTCAGTCAGCTCCCTGCTCTGAGCCTCTGACTAGGCGGGGCTGATAACCACCTGTGAAGCTGTGCAGCTTAGAGAGAACACTGTTCATAATGTGTAAGCTATACTAATAGATACAATTGAGAGAGCAGAGTGGCTACCGACCTTTGATCAAGGAGTTGAGTATGTACATAATTATAACATTTAAGGTGGAGCCTTTAAGTCAAGAAATTCTCATATAAAGCTTAGTTTGTCTTGGTTCTTAGTGACGTGATTGAGGGATACAATAGGAGTGAGTAATGGAAATTTTGGAAATGTTACTCTTACTGTTATCTATTTTAGTAGTTTACATGCCTAGTTATTACATGAAGATCTTGTTCACCCTCTGAATTAAGAGAAATATTTGAAAAGTTCTGTGCTAAAATTGTTTGACCTCTTTATTATGATGTGCAAATAATCCACATGTTGTACTTGAGGTTTCAAACCTGTGTGAAACTTGTTTTCTATTTTTTTCCCCAAACCTTACAGTACCTTAGAATCTGCCTCTTTTGTATCTGTTGTTTCCTTAGCGATACTACATAGCTAGTTCACGACAAATCCGACGATTAACTGGAGCATCAAACACTCCTGTGATCTCCCATTTCAGTGAAACTCTTTTAGGACTATCTACAATTCGGGCATTTGGACACCAGGAAAGGTTCATAAGACGAAACAAAGATGTGATGAATGAGAACTTGGTTTGCTTCTACAACAATGTTATCTCAAACAGGTACTGTATTAACAAGCTTGAATTTACAAAAATTCCATACAGTGGCCCAAATCTTGCCTGTTGAAATCAGTGGCTAAAATAATTAGTTCTTCTTCGAGTGCTTGCGCATGTCCATTCAACATAGGTGTGTTTGCCTGCCGCAAGCATCAGTGCCGGAAGTTTTTCCCTAAGCAGTACCCATAGGGGCTGGAGTCCTTAGCACCCTCTGGAGTGGCACGTGCATGCCACACTATATAGGATGCCCCTGGGTTCCTTCTTGCCACCAGTGACAGTGCTTGGAACAGCTTGCTCCAGCCTTAGCACTTGCTTTGCATTGTTGATAGTTCTAAACGAACTGCTGAGTACCTGTAAATTGTTGAACTTCCATTTTTTAAAGAGAGACTACCTGGGGGATGGGGCAGGCTGGGCTTCTCTGGCTTCAAAGCCTACGCAGTGTGCCACAGGTCCCTGCTAGTCAGCAATCCATATGCTGATTGCCTTTGTTATTAGGGAGAAGGACACTTCTTGGACAAGTGTTGCATTTTCAGGTCCTTCTATATCAAAACTATTCAAGAGCCAAGAATTTGTCTTGAAGTGCTCTTAATGAAGTCCACGCTTGCTCCGCTGGATCAGCCTCGGTGCACAGCACATTGCCAGCATTGAGGGCTCAGCACATGGCCCCAGTTAGTCCTGCTAGGAACCTGGGCAGAGGCAAATCCCCTTGTAAGGATAAGAGGAAGATGAGTGGCTAGCCAGTGAACAGGCCAGAGAAGCCCCAAAAGGCACTGATACCTTCATCAGTGTTGGAGGTCCCTCTCCCCTCCACACCGGAGGCCTTTCAGCTTGCACAGAAGTGCCATGTTGGTACCACCCCCTTATGCTGAGAGGGCCCTGGTGCAGATGTAGACCGCTTTTTGGCCCTGATCTCCTGGCATGGTCCAATCACACTTTCCTCTGGTGTCTGAAAGGAGAGTGCTCTGAAGTCCCCATAAATCTGCACATGAGAGACGGGCACAATGCGTGATCTCCCACGTTGCTGGAGTCAGTGCGCAGACCTGCGCAGGCATGCACAGGCACCAAAGGCACCGAAGGAATAGAACTTCTCCCTACTCTCCATGCCAACGATGGGATTCCTCTTCATTACATCAGCGCCATTCGGTTCTCCCAACCAAAGGGCCAGTATCCCCGCCAGAAGAGAGCCTGTTCACTCCCAAAGCCCCCCAAGCAGAGACCTGGCTGCCATCCTCCATCTGGCCAGCAATCAACCAGCTAAGCAAAGCCCCAGGACAAGTGTTCCTTTTGAGGGTGCACCCAGAGACAATATACCAGAGCCCCAAGATCCTGCTCACCTGTTCTCTTCAGGCTCGAACCCTCCTTCCTGGACAATTGGGTCCTAGCCACTGTCCAGCATAGCTCTATCCTCCAGCTCTCCTTCACACCCTCCACCCCCTTCACTCTTCAGGGAACCTTCTCACAAGCATTTTCTCGAACAAGAGCTATCCCAGTTAATCTGGGTGAGAGCAGTGGAGAGGGTAACACTGGAGTTCGAGAACAAAAGTTTCTACACCCATTATTTTTTTATTCCCAAGGCAAAAGGGGGCCTATTGCCTAAATTGGACTTGCAGAGACTCAACAAATATTTGCCTCAAGTTCCACATGGTCTCCCTGACCACCATCATTACCGACCTGGATCCTAGGGATAGGTATGCTGCCCTCAACCTCAAAGATGTGTACTTCCATATCTCCATCGTCAAAGGTCACAAGCGCGTCCTTAGATCCATAGTAGGAAAGAACCACTATCAATTTGCTGTCCTTATTTTTGGCCTATCTACAGCCCCTAGGTTTTTCACTTAATATATTGGTGGTTGTGGCATTCCCGAGGCACAGGAATGTACCCTTTACTGGACAACAGTTTCATCAGGGGCCTGTCAAGGCAAAAGGTCCAGTATGACATGCATCTCCTCCTGGATAGGTGCTGCCAGATCAGCCTGCTGATGAATGAGAAAAAGTCCCTCCTGGTGCCAACTCAAAGGACAGAGTTCATAGAAGTGGTTCTGGACTTGACCATGGCCAGAGCATTTTGCTCTCAAGAGAGATTCAAGGGAGCCCTCATTTGGTAGCTTGCAGTCACCCCCATGACCTCAGCACGAGTGTATCTGCAAATCCTGGGGCATATGGCTGCTTGCACATACTTAGTGCCCCTGGCCAGGCTCAGGATGAGGCTGGCCTCAGTGTAGTTGTAAGGCACTCTCTGGAAAGGGTGGTAGTGGTCCCTCCCCAAGTTCTGTTGGCCCTGGCCTGGTGGATGAGCCCAGACCAGGTCATGTCAGGTATACCATACCATCCTCAACTGCACTTGAGAGAACTAGTAGCCAACTCTTCGGACTGCAGTTGGATGGCCCACATGGAGACCCTTCACACTCAGGGCATGTGTCCGTTCAAGAAAGATAAAAGAGCTCAGGGTGATCAGGAATGTGTGAGAGGTATTTCTGCCTCACCTCATGGGCACATGGTGAGCGTTCTCACAAACAATACTGCCACTATGTACTACATAAACAGGAAAGGAGAGTCCCGCTCCCCAGAGTGCTGCAAGGGAGCTATGAGGCTCTGGGAGTATTGTGTCCTACATGACATCGTGCTAGAAGCCGTCACCTCCGAGGGGTTCGGAAAGTGATCACAGATCTTCTCAGCAGAGAGTTCTCCTCTCACCACAAGTGGGCTTTCCACCCCTCTTGGACCTTGTAACAACGAGAGACAATGCAAAATTCAGCCAGTTTTGCTCTTGGTTCAGCCTCAAGCAGGGTTCCCTTCAGGATGCATTCCTGTACCAGTGGTCAGAGGGTCTCTTCTATGCCTTCCCTCCATTTCCACTCATCAGAAAAGTCCTGCAAAAGGGACAAGGCAGCAGTGATCCTGGTCACACTGGCCTGGCCTCACCAGCATTGGTTTGGGGTACTGATGAACCTGATGTCCCATGTGCCCAGGTGGCTTGCTCTCCCAGGACCAAGGGTGTTTACTCCACCTGAATCTCAGCTCACTCCACCTGATAGCATGGTTCATCTGTGGTTGAACCCCCAGGAGCTGGCGTGTTCGGGCTACATTCAGAGGGTTCTCCTCGACAGTCAAAAGCCCTCAACTTGGTCCACCTCTGCTGCCAAATGGACTAATTTCTCCATATGGGCACAGCAATGGCAGGTCATCCTGTCTGAGGTTTCCCTTCAGGAAATCCTGGATTACTTGCTCCACCTAAAGCATCAAGGCCTTGCTCTGGCCACCATTAGATTCCACCTGGCAGCCACTTCCGTGTTTCATCCACCCCTGCATGGTTGTTTGGTATTCTCTCATGATGTCACCTCCTGGAACGATGCTAGCCTCAGGCCAGAGACCCTCTCCCACAGTGGGACCTGAACCTGGTCTTGGTGCAGCTCGTGGGACTTCCATTTGAGCCACTGGCCCTGTATCCCTTGTCACTGCTCTCCTTCAAGGACACTGGATATGTGCCACTATTTGGGAAAGGAAAGGGGAAATGCCTCCCCAATCCCACAGTGGAAGGGAAGATAGCAAAGTTTCCCCTCCTCCTCTGGGCACAAACCAAGGGTGTTTACCCATGAGCCCTGGGGGAAATTTCATCAGGGAACACCGTGACGGATGTAGAAAATATGTAGTAAAAATCACAATACTTTTGATATCTGGATTCAAAGGCCAAGGATTGTTGTGCTTGGCTGGCTACTAATGCTGATTATACCTCTGAAATTATGCAAGTGAAGCAGGAGTTGGAGCAGGTGAGAGCAGAAAGGGGTACATGGAAGGCGCAAGTGGCAGGGGCAAGTTCTCAGCAGCTGGCAATCTCTGCCATTAAGGCAATGGAGAGAGCTGAACAGGCTGAGGAAGAGAGGGAACAATCTCTGGAATTGGCGGTTCAGGTGGAGAGTTTGCGGGGATTGGTGTTAGAGCAGGGGACCTGCTCAGGAGGAAGAGCAGCAGTTCCCCCAGGATCAGGGACAAAAGTGCCACTCTGGTATGACCCTGAAGATTGGAATGGGGACATATGGTATGACCCGGACCCAGGATGGCCACCTGACCTGATTGGCTAGGAGCTTGGCCAGCCCCAGTGGCGGCTGTGTAATGGTTAACTTTTCAGCACGGCTCTCCGTCCCATAACTGGGGTAACCATGCAGGAAATAGCTTTAACCCCCTCCAAAATAACTTCTCAGGCCCAGGAAAAATGGATGAGGGGTGACAGAAACTGCCCGCCTGGCAGGTGGGTTATTAGGTAATATTATATGTAAGCAGGGGCTGAACTAATGCTTGCTATCAGCCAGCTAAAAGGAGAGAGCTGCCCTGCGGGTGGGTATGCTCACTCAAATTGTTTAGCTCTGCAAGATAATTAACTGGTAACTGTATAGGAAGTGGAACACTAAGCCCCTTCAAGTAAAGTTGGAGGGGGTCATTCACCATTTGCAATAAGGGAAATGATACAGTGTTCCAAATTGCCTGGGACCTTCATGGGAAGTGGGTCCATTGAGGACAACTTAAGCATGTAGGAGGAACCATCTTGATTCCATGTTCCTCCTATAGTAACCCACTGTTTATGATGTTTACGTTTCTGCAGTTTTTATGATGTTTAAAGTTTTTCAATTTAAGATGCTTAAGGTTTTTGCAGATTTTTATCTTGCAGAACATCAGAAAGAGCTGGTACCAGCTGAAGAGCAGTGGAAATACCATGGTTCGAGTGTTGTGACAAGGTCTATGTTCTGTGTTTGTCTTGTGGTGGTTGTCCCTATGCCAGCATTGTCATGTATTGTATTTGGTGAAAGAGAGGATGCTGCATTAGACAGGAAAAAGCAAGAATTATATTCACAAACCCTTTTATTGTTCTCTAATTAAACTCCTTCCTTTCCCCTCCACTTCCTCCATATTCTCAGTTACACCTGATCTATGGTGGCCCACCTACGTCCAAGAGGCCTGTGGTTCTCTATACTCAGGCATACAATTACCCCTTTGTTGAATGCTCTGACATATATTGTTACATCCTACGGCCACTGTTTATTATTGATATGTACTTTGCTATCATGAACCTGCTATATGTATTGGAAAATTCTAAATTGTCACGGCAATCAAAATATTGGCATGGATGGGTGGAGGCGCGTTGTCCACCTTTGAATAGTTACCGTTATTTGGGTGACCAAGGGGTGGGAAATGTTGTATAAAACCTCTGCCCAATCCATGATCCATGTGACTTTTTGTATTATAAGTCATATCAGGTTCAGCCATTTCAAGTCACATATCTCTCTGCTCTTGTAAACCGTGTAAGTCTCAGTTGTTCTAAGTTATGTCCGTTTCTATTGTAAGCCATTTACATTTCATTTAATGTTTCAAGTTCTGCAACCTTTTGCAAGCTTTGTAACTTCTGGCTATTGCTTGTACAATCTTTAAGCTCTGAACATTCTATCCTGTGACAAGGGAGTGCATGGGTATGTGTAAGTGGTGTGAATAGAGTAATGTCTGCACTTTTGTGGAAAGGAGCCGGGAGGCTATAGAAAGGAGCCAGGGGCTAGGTGGGATCTGATGTAATCTTCTCTTGCACATGACAAAGACAAGAAACAAAGATGCAGTAAAGATGAGAAGAAGGAATTAATATGCATGAGAAAAATGAGGTCTGGGTGGGCCTCTTGGTGATGGACACAGAAAAATAACTCAGTGTATGTGACAGGGGTCTCCCAGCTCAATAAAGAGAAGAGAGTATTCAGACCATGAGTTGTATGTTCAGCTTGCCGGCCCAGATTGGTGACTGCAGGCAGACACACTGGACCCATCATGCTTGGCTTCTTCTGCTCTCTTTGTGCTACTCATCGTTTGCGTGTGTGTCTGGGTATATGAATTTGTGTGTGCACATGTGAAGGAGTCTCATTCCCTTTTTGCTTGATCCCGTAGTGGCATTGAATAAATCAATATAAGTATAACCCTGGATTGGCCTCCGGTGAGATTAGGTAACAGCGCTGGCCTTTTACCTGGAGAGGACACGTGCCTTTCGCAGATCCACACAGCTTTTTGTGACCTATGCAGAGAGCGCAGCATGGGTTCCCTGATTTCCTCCCTGCGATTGTCCAAGTGTTTCACTTCTTGCATCTGCATGTGCTACGAGTTGGCAGGGTCCTTGGCACCAGAACTGATTAGGGCCCACTCCTTCAGGGCTCAGTCTTCCTCATGCACACACCTGATCCAGGACATTTGTTGAGTGGCAATGTGATTGTCGGTACATACATTCATGTCTCATTATGCCCTCACAAAGCAGGCCAGGGAGGATGCTGCGTATGGCAGGGCTGTTCTGCGATCTGCATTCTCACAACTCCTACCCACCTCTGCAGACACTGCTTACAGTCACCTATGTTGATTGGACATGAGCAAGCACTTGAACAAGAAAAGACAATAACCTGTTCGGTAACTGGTGTTCTTTGAGATATGTTGCTCATGTCTATTCAGCCTCTCAGCCTCCTCCCCTCTGTCAGAATTCTGGAAAGAAGGAGCTGAGGAGGTAGGTTTTGGGGACACCTTATATTGTGCAGCAGGGGTGAGCCACTCCAGGGGGCGCTGGGGACACTGTCCCCAACAGGTACTGCTTAGGGAAAAACTTCCAGCGAGCACACACATCTATGCTGAATGGACATGAGCAACACATCTCAAAGAACACCAGTTACAGAACAGGTAACTGTTCTTCAGTGGGAACAGGCTCTTTAAGAGATGAAAATAAGCCTAAAATGTGTGTAAGTACTGTACGTGGGCAATGGGGTAGGTCATCCTTCCTGTGCAGGAATATCTGCTGAATTGGTTGGAGTGATATGTTCTTCAGAATGTTGAGAGTGTAAGTCACATGGGTTGATTGGATTTATACTTCAGCAGGGGTTAGATTCTCCAGATGTTCATTTCCAGATGTAAACATGAGTTGTGATTTTACAATTTTAGTAAAGAAACGAATAGCTTTTCGCATGTCCTCATCGAAACAATAAGAATTAAATCCTGGTCCCATTGACATCAATAGGTATTTTGACAGTGACTTGAACAAAGCTAGAATTGTATCCTGCCCTAGCATACAATTTGTGCAATTGCAAGATGGAAAGATTTATTCTGGTGTAGGAATGTAAACGGTTAACCGGTTTGCCTTACTGGCATGCTTACCCGGTTAACCAGTGCCTGGCTTGGTCAGAGAAGCCACATGGTGTGGTGCAACAGGCCCTCCCTAGCTCAGCTGGAGCAGCCCCATCATCCATAGTGTGGAGAGGCAAGCCTGGCCAAGCTAGAACAGCCCCACACCCCCCACATGGCAGCCTCTACTGCTCTGGCCGGAGCAGCCCCCCACTTGCAGCCCAGTGTGGTTTGCCTGGTCCAGGTGGAGCAGCCCTTTTCCTGTGACGTGGTGTGGCGCAGTGAGCCCAGCCAAGCTGGAGCAGCTTCGCCCACGCTGTGCCAGACTCAGCTGGACCCATTGTGCTGCAGATAGGAGGTTGCTCCAGCAACATATAGTTTCAATGGGAACAGGCTTGTTAAGAGATGAAAAGAAGCCTAAAATGTGTGTAAGTACTGTAATTTGTTCATCACACTTAGTACTGGCTTGATGATAAACATATAGTTTAACTAGTTAACATTTTAAACAGGATTTACATCCCTATTCTGGGCATATAGGAAATACATCAGACTTAAAAACCACAAAGCTAGATTCAGTCTTATTTGTGGAATTGCCATCTATTTACAGGAAACCCTCACCATTTGCGGGGGCTGGAAGCCGCAGGGAATTCATCACAGCTACTAGGAGCTGCAGGGAACACACAGCGGCTCCTGATGGCTGTGGTGAGTTCCCTGTGGCTCCCAGCCACCACCACCAGTCTCCCCGTTCCCCCCCAACCCCTCCTCCTCCCAATGCCAGGACAGGAGACCCACAAATGCACAGCACGGCAAATTGTGATTCTGGGAATCGTGAGGGTCTCCTGTATATGGAGTGAGAAGGAGTCTGGCCTGATACAGCACTGAACTGTTCCACCTCTGCCACTGACCAGTGGAGTAATCTTGCGCAAGTCATTAACCCTCTCCATGCCTCAATTGATTATGCTTATCTTCATTGTAAATCAGCTTGATAAAAAATGCTGTAAGAGCTAATTGTTGATATTTTACTATAATTTCAATGTTCCATAATACAAATTATTTAGTTAAGTCATTTTCTCTCCCTTTCTTCCCCCCATCTACATTGATTACAGGTGGTTGGCTGTCAGGCTTGAGTTTCTAGGAAGCCTGATGGTTTTCTTTGCTGCCTTGTTTGCAATGATGGCTGGAAATACAATTAATTCCTCCACAGTGGGTTTATCGATATCATACGCACTAAATGTAAGTGATGGCAGAGTTTTAAAACTTCTATAGTATTTCATATGGAAGACATAAATGACTGGGGTAAGATTTAGTACAGGTTGGACCTCCCTGGTCTGGCCCCCTCGGGACTTTACCAGTCCTGGTTAAGGGATTTTGCTGGACCAGTGAGGTCATACCTGGCTCCCCTACTACCAGCACCCCCCACAGCCCTGGGCCAGCTGCAGGCCTCCTGGCTGACTGCTCCTTGCCACCAGCCTCACAGCCCTGCCAGTCCCCCCACCTCCTTCCCTGCTATGCTGGGCAGCCCAGCTGCAACCTAGCATCTTGCACACTGGGCTCCTCTGGGCAGCTATGCTACAGTGTACCAAGCTCCTGGCCCTGCTGGGTAGCCCCACTGTGATACTCCAAGGCCATGGTCCCACTGGGCAGCCTCCCTGTACTCCTGGCCCTGCCAGGCAGTCCCATTATGGTGCACTGGGTTCCTGGCCCCTTCAGGCAGTCCCCGCTAATCTCCTGACCCTGCCAGGCAGCTCTGCTGTGACATGCTGGGCTTCTGACCCAGCCAGGCTGCCCAGGTGCAGGGAGCCCAGCCCTAGCCTTCCACCAGGACTCTCTTTTCCTGGAACATCTATGCTCCTGCCTGATGATGGGTGTTGCCGGATCAGGGAATCCCAGATTACAGAGGTTCAACCTGTAGGCCACATTCTGCACAGTTGCACCTGTGCAATTTTTAATCTCATGGGTGTAACTGAGCAGAATGTACTCTCACTGCTGTGTGTTTTTATTTGAATGTATGGTAATATTGGAAGCTTATGTATTATTAACAATTCATATATTGATAGGTTTAAATGCAACAATATATTGGAATATTGACAGATTTTTAAATGCCAAATTGACTGCATTGTGAGGTTTACTTTTGTATTTTTCTAGCTTGGAGAAGGGAGGTCATCTAGTCAATTGCACTTGTGTTTTGAGATGCTTGCTTTCTAATTCTATTGCATTGGTATAATGCTGCAATATTTAGGGTGCCATCACAAGGAGATGGTTGATTAAAAATGAGTGGTGTATAGGTATAGAAATATTTAATGGAAACATTTCTACTGGCCCTATGTTATAAAATAAGCAGTACAGTTGGAACCGTATTTCACATGCATGTCTGTTTTAATAAGGAGTGCTAGTCCTGTGTTGATTAATGGCTAGAGACACAATGAAACCTAATGATTTGAAGAGTTTTAAAAACCCAAGACAAATCCAAGCAGCCACAACATCTTGATAGTTTAGTCCTACTGTGTATGTTCCCTCTCGGTCTATCGTGTAGTCTAAAATTAGAAGATATGCTCTTTGGGATAAAGTGCTATGGAAATCTATAGCACTGTACCCATGAAGATGATACAGGCTACATTTACCTGCTAAGATCTGAATTCAGTGTTCTGTGATTTTTCTGCAACAGATTGCATTTGCACAGGAAAGGGTATATCATTTCCTGTATGCATTGTCACCGAAACAGGCATCTTAATTCAGCTCTCAACTCAGGTTTTTCAGGTAGGTATATTACAAACAAGTTTTCAATAATTTTAATTTGTACTGGTATTTAAATTTGGTTAAGTATAGAATCTCAGAACATATAATTATTTTTGGCTTAAAAGCCTTTAGATTCATATTTGAATATTCTGAACCTCAAAACAAAATGTTAAACTAGGAAGACTGCTTCATTAACCCACTGCCTCACCCACCAGTTTCATTAAAGTTTAATTTCTAGTTCTGATATGTAATGTGCAATGTCTTAGGAGAGTTAAAATAGTCCAATTTTATATTGCTATAACTGAGCATGTCATTTCACACTCTTCACATGGCAACTCTGAGAATTCACACACAGAATTGGTGTCCATTAAATTAACTTGTAGATATTGGATTAGGTAGCATTACTACAGGCAGTCCCCGGGTTACGTACAAGATAGGGACTGTAGGTTTGTTCTTAAGTTGAATTTGTATGTAAGTCGGAACTGGCGTCCAGATTCAGCCGCTGAATCGGACACGCCTGGGGCAGAGCAGCTGGAGTTCTGCTGGGTTGGTCCAGTAGCGCTGCACCTCGGTGCTGTCGGACCAACCCAGCAGCCCCCCAGCTGCTCTACCCCAGGTGTTGGCGAGAAAAGCCTGGTCTGCTGGGGTGGGGAGGGCGCACTAGCTGCGCCCCCCCCAACAGACCAGGGAGACGCGGAGCCCCCCTCCCCTCGGTTCGTAACTAGGGGTCCGACTTAAGTCCCACGTAACCCGGGGACTGCCTGTACTTGCAAAAATAGCTTTTCAGTGCTTGAGGATACAAGTGATTTGGCAGGCACTGTAGACCAGATCCCCAGGTGCACTGTAGCTGCTTTTGCCCCATTAATATCTATGGGTATGTCTACACTACCCCGCTAGTTCGAACTAGCGGGGTAGTGTAGACATACCCTATGTGACTCGGGAAGATTGTCCCAGTGTAAAGGGAATACTTCAACAGAGCACAGAAAACACAGGGACTCATGAACCCACACTTCCTCTTTCTGCCAGTGTAACACAGAAGAGGAAGCTTGGTTTATGGGGCAGTGGTGGTAGTTAGGGAACCCTGTACCCTACACCAGTGGTTCCCAACCAGTAGTCTGTGGACCCCTGGTGGTCTGCGATGGTACTGCAGGGGGTCCACAGAAAAATTGTACTGCATTGGGCCCATCCTTACTTTTCTTTTTTTTCTCCCCCAGGGCTCTGTGCCTGACTAAGGGCGGAGTTCTGGGGCAGGAAGTGCCTTTTAGGGTGGAATTTTGGTAGAGTGGAGGTGCGGCAGCAGCCATGCACTCCGAGATGTGGCTTGCTTTTCATCCCGTTCCCCAGATGCTAAGGGAGTGAGAGGAAAGTGCTTTCATTCTGTGCATGTCTCTCACACCTAACTGGTTTCATTGTCTCTCTAGCCATTATTCAACACAGGACTAGCACTCCTTATTAAAACAGACATGCATGTGAAATACGGTCCCAACTGTGCTACTTATTTCATAAGATAGGGCCCCGAAATTCCACCCTTGGTCCATATCCTCTGTGGATGGGCAAGGGGTTTGAACTGAGGAAGCAGCATGGGTCAAGGGGAGGTGGTGGTCCATGAAATGTTAATAGATTGAAAAGGGGTCCATGTAGGCAAAAAGGTTGGGAACCACTGCCCTACACCACAGATGGGGAACCTTTTTTTCTGACATGGGCCATTGACCTACAGAAAACCTTAATTGCAGGCTGGGCGGGGGGGAAGGAGGGTGGACTCTGAGCTTCAGGACTTCTCCCTGCAACAAAATGAGCCAGCACTCACAGCTCCCACCCTGGACGGGGGACGGGGAATGAAGAGGCATTGGTGCTGGAATAGTTTTTACATTGGGGGTACTGAAACCCAGTGGTCTCCAAATTTTGTACCTAGCACTCTCCCTCTCCCCAGAATTCCTGCAAAGACTGGACTATGACTAAATGGTGGAACAAAGTCCCAGGTGCCAGAAGACAGGACCCCATGTACATGGCTGGGAACAGAGCCCTGGGAAGGAGTCCAGTGGCAGCCAGCGTTGGCAGCCAAGACCCCAAGCAAAATCTGGTGCTGCAGCACCCCAGCATCCCTAGTTCTTGTGATTTTGCTTGGAGGCTTATGTCTCCCCTCCCATGGTAAGGCAAGACAACACTCACAGGTCTTGCCCCACAGAGTATCACAAGGCAGATGAAATTTAGCAACAGGCTGGCTCAAGTCCACAGGCTATACGTTCCACATCCCTGCCCTACACTGATCCTGAGTTAGTTTTTCTAACACATACAATGGTGGAAGAAGCACTCAGAGCCGACTGGGAGTGATCCAGTGAAAATAGAAATTTAAAGACAGCATTGCATACCAACTCCTAACTTATGCTTTACATCCTCTGGAACTAGCTAAGCAGCCGACCTTCTGTTTTGTTGCTGTTTCTTGCTATCCATTATACTTTTCTGTTTAGGAAGACCAAGCAATTTTAATGCATTCTGTGGAGTAAATCTTAAGGGTGCTTCAAGAATAAGAGGGGGCTTCAAGAAATCATTTAAGTCCAGCCCACTATGCTGTGGCAGAAGCAGGTAAACCTAGACCATTTCATGAATATATCTTATTTTTTTCAGATAACTCAAACTTTGAATTTTTGGGTTCGTAAAGCATGTGAAATTGAAACAAATGGAGTTTCCATTGAAAGAATTTGTGACTATGAAAAAATGGGCAAAGAGGTGAGAATTATAGAAGACTGAAGATAAACTGAGTACTGTATTTAGATGTTATTCCATATATGTGAAACTGACTAATGGCTAACTAAAAAAAGAAAATATATGCAATGACTAATACGTAAATGATGGCTTAGAAGCAATAATGTCTACCTTCTCAGAATGTGATAAATTACGGATCTAATGTATTTGACTTCCTCTTTTACACTAATGGTTAGAATGGTTCTGTATTTTTAATGTTCACTAGTAAATTTCTTGACCTCAGATTTTGTGGTAGCTATGGTAGTTAGAAACAGATACATAAAATAAAACTTTACTACTATTTGAATTTGTGACTATCTATCCATCTATATACACATACAGAGCTCGCGCAGATCGCCTGAACCCGGCTCTTCCGGGTTGTAATCTACTTGCCACAGGCGAGTAGATTGTATTATTTGTTGAGCCCTATGTGTGTGTGTGTGTATCTATCTATCTATCTATCTATCTATCTGTCTAGATAGATTCACACACACACTCTACAGTCATAGAGTGTGATGACAGCTTACGCAGATGAACCTGCAACAGTTATCTAGCTAGCTTGACTACTGGAGCAGTGACATCGTAGCAGCATGACTTCAGTGCAGGCTAGCTGCCAGAGTAATTTCCCAGGAAGGTTTCTTACAGCCTATGGTGCTAATCCAGATAGTTGGGTGTTTCTACATGCGCCCTCATGATTGCAATTCAGAAATACACAATGGTACAATGATGGAGGATACATTGCATTCACTACACAGCTTGAGGTACCTTGCCATCATCAAAACCTTTGGTGCTAGGCTGATACAGAAGTTGTAAGGTAGGAGTGCGTGGATTATGAATTTGTCAGATGCTTTTGACGAAGTGGGTCTTTTCCCACGAAAGCTTATGCTCCAATAAATCTGTTAGTCTATAAGGTGCTACAGGACTTCTTGTTGTTTTTCCTGATATAGTGTGAACTGAATAGTGTGTCCTGTGCAAAATAAGTGACATTGCAAACATAAATAAAGTTGTTAGAAAGGTACAGATTATACTTTGAGAATAGTGAGTACATTGCAAATTATTAATAGCTAGCGCTTTGGAAGCAAGAGTCTCCTCTTCCAAAGCTCAGGATTGTGTGTTAGTAAAATAATCAAGGTTTCTGTGGTAGCTTTCTAAATTAATATATGCAATTTTTGTCTGAAGAAGTTGCTAAGAAGTATTTTAAATTAAAAATTTGTGATCCATTAAGTTTTTGCCATCAGGTGTTTTACTTGTATTTTGGAAACAATAAATGGTTTGCATACAGTATTCTAAGTGCCTTGTAAAAATGTAAAACAGTGCACTAAAACAATATTAATTTAATTTCAGGCCCCCTGGATAATGTCTAAAAGACCACCAATGGGATGGCCCAATAAAGGGATAATAGAGTTCATTAATTACAAAGCTCGGTATAGAACAGATCTTGGTTTGGCCCTACAAGATATCTCCTTCCAAACGCAGAGTAAAGAGAAGGTATTGTACATACTACCAAATAATCACAAGTTATTTAAGTGGCCCTTTAACTTTCTACAGTCAATAGATTTCATATATAGAAGCATTACTGAAGGAGTCCAATTTAGGATAATTCTTATTGGGTATATAAATAATGAGCTATTAGAGTTCATGAAATTATTTTCTAAATGGTTGTATAGCCAATGACTGCGTCTCCATGGAACATCACCTTGTAGTGGTGGAGAGGCTTGCGTTGATCAATGAACCCCAAGAGTGACACTACTTTAGGGTCACCTATGGCAGAACGGTCAAGGGCGAGGTTCCAGACAAAGTGTCATCGAAGAAATCCTCAATGGCAGAAGAGACGAAGGATTACTGCACAGTGGAGATGAAACTGTTGTATAGTGTTACAGTGTCTATGAAGGCAGATGAAGGCTGCAGCAGATAGAGGATCTCCATTCGTCGTGGTGTCCATGCCATTGGTTTCAAGCCCTCTATTTGTCAAGGACAGTGTGCAGTAGTCTCCCCACTTTAAAAGAAGACCCTCACAGGCGTCTTCCAGTATTTGGGAAAACAACACCTGCAGAAGTAAAAAATCCGGTGGCGATCAGCGAGTGGTGATGGGAACAGGACAGTGATACCCAGAGGTTCCTAGTCACAGACCAAGACACAGGTGGTGGTGTATGTGTGATTCAGTCATTTTGCTCGAGAACTGAGGCAGGTCGAGCATCCCAACAGCTGCACCCATAGAATCATAGAATCCTAGAACTGGAAGGGACCTAGAGAATCATCAAGTCCAGTCCACTGCCTTCATGGCAGAACCATGCACCATCTAGATCGTGCCTGATAGACGTCTGTCTAACCTGCTCTTAAATATCTCCATGACTGAGCAGTCCTCTTTGGGATCCACTTAAAAATAGTCTTGCCTCTTTTTCTCTTGGCTGGATAGCTGTGTCCAGCAGGATCACCACCCCATCAGTCCAAAATGTAGGCATTTTGAACCTGCCCGCCGACAAGCTAAGGAGGAAAAGACGTGCAAGAGGAAGGGGAGACTGGCTTGTAGTCATGGTCAATAGCTTCCTGCTATACCTGGAAACATCTCTGTCCTCACTGTAATAGAGCTTGTGGTTCAAGGATTGGCCTTACCAGCCACCTGATGGTCCAAAACTCTCATGGAAGATGGTCATACTCGGCAATGAGTGATTACCCATTATCCTCATAGCCATTGGCTGTATATTTTAATCTAAATGTTATTAATGGCAACATTAGATACAAAGGGACAGATGCTCAGATGGTGTATTTTGCCATATAGCTCAACTAACTACTGATTTACAGCAGTTGGAGATCTAAGCAAGGTTTTAAATGACACACTTTAGTTTCAAGTTCTACTGTAGCTTGATTAGAATCCAGATGTAAAAATCAATCAAATATTGAGTGCCTCACACTATATATATGCAGCCAGTTTTTTCGTAAAATCACTTATGATAATCTTTTTACTTTCCATTTTAGGAGCACAAAAACAAATGTTTCCCACCCATTTTTTCCTTTTTTTTTCCTTCATCTTTTACCTATGGTAAATGATGAACTGTGTTTCTATTGAGGACAGTATTAACACAGTTCCTTTTATTTATTGTTTGGGCACCAACTGTAGTTAGGTTAATCTGTCTCCAAAAACAGTATGAACAGAGTCATGGCCCAAAGGAACTACTCAAGTGAGCTCATTAGTGTGAGCAGGGAGATCATGATCTGACCCTAGATTTATGTGCTGCTGCCATCCCAGCAGATGAGAATATTAGCTTTTGAGCACTTGTTTGAAAATTCCTTTCTAACCCAAAGAATTCTAGACAGTCCAGGATCCTGATGATGTTTCCCAACCAAAGCATAAGAGAATTTAGGAAGATCAGATTTGGGGCCTAAATCACTGGACTATGGACAAAGGAGCAGTGTTCTTTTATAATGCATGATATCTGTCTATAGTGTTTAAAGTCACTAAAAAGAAATTGAACGTGTTGCGTCACTAAACTGTCCATTATTAAATTATTAACTTGCACTATTGAAATGACTAAAAATAACCTGTCTTGTTTCAGGTTGGAATTGTAGGAAGAACAGGAGCTGGTAAATCAACACTCACAAATTGTTTGTTTAGAATTATAGAGGGAGCTGGAGGCAAAATAATTATAGATGGAATTGATATATCAACTATTGGCCTACATGATCTACGTGGCAATCTTAACATTATTCCACAGGTAAAATCTGCTATAGAATCGACACTTCTATTTCATTCAGACATTAGCTATTACATATCCATAATGCAATTCTAAATCCTGAAGGCTGAAGCTGGAAGTATAAGGAAGGCCCCATTTTGTACCAGTTGACCAGAGGAAAAAGAAATCAGAATATTATTACTGGAATTATAATTAATATTGAAAACTCCAGTTACTCATTAATGAGTATGTCCCAAGAAAAGAGCTTTGGGTGTAATCAAATAATACTTGTTCATATTGCAAAATCAAAAGTAGCTTTATAGTAAATGATTTCAATTTAACATTAAATCCTTTTCATCTAAAGGATTTAAATGCTTTAAAGATGCACATAGACACCTGGTGGGATTTTCAAAAGAACTTACCTGCTTTTGCCTGTCTGCCTCTTTATGTGCCTAAATACCTTTAAAAACTGGCCCATGGTAAATTTATAGAATTGTATAGAAAGCTAGCGGATTTTTTTTTAAAGCAAACAATGTTCTTGGCTAACTGTACACATTATTTTTAATACAACAATTTAATACAACAATTTAATACAACACATTATTTTTAAAACCAACAATAGAACACCACTTGTCATCACCTACAACCCCCAACTAAAACCTGTCCAACACATTATCAATAAACTACAGCCTATATTGGAACAGGATACCATACTCAAAGAGGCTCTGGGAGACAGACCCATAGTCTCATATAGACAACCACCTAACCTCAAGATGATTCTTACCAACCACCACAGGACATACCACACTAATACCAACCCTGGTACCTTCCCTTGCAACAAACCCCGTTGCCAGCTTTGTCCACATATTCATTCTGCTGATACCATTATTGGACCTAACCAAGTAAGTTATAAGATCAAGAACACATATTCCTGCGCATCCAGAAATATAATCTATGCTATCATGTGCCGAAAGTGTCCGTCTGCTATGTACATTGGACAAACATCTCAGACACTTCGCCAAAGGATTAATGCCCACAAAACAGATATCAGACAAGATCACAAAGAGAAAACAGTTTCTTGCCACTTTAACCAGAAAGGACACTCTCTAAATGACTTAGCCACCTGCATTCTGCTACAAAGACCTTTTACATCTGCACTTGAAAGGGAATCCTCTGAACTGTCATTCATGTTAAAATTCGACACTTGCCAACAAGGACTTAACAAGACTTTGAACTTTCTCACCCATTACCAAGACAGTTTCCCCAATTATCACCTGTAATACCATTAACTCACAAACATCCCACTCTCCCTACCTTTAATATCAGCAATTCACAGACACTTACCTTCCTTCCTCCCCCTTCCCACCCCCCCGCATCCCCCTTCTGTTCTGCAATGTGATTTGTCCTTTTCATATTTGTTCATTTTTTTTAATTGTATCCTTTGGTATATATGGTTGTGACTACTTTCTTCCACTATTTGATCTGAGGAAGTGGGTCTGGCCCACGAAAGCTCATCATCTAATAAACCATCTTGTTAGTCTTTAAAGTGCTACATTGTCCTGCATTTTGCTTCAACTACCCCAGACTAACACGGCTACATTTCTATCACTATTTTTAATACAGTTATTTGAATATGTATTTTCATTTACCAAAGATGTCTTTATTCCTTTAGGCTTTGTGATATTAAGTAATTTGAGCATAACTAGTTTTTCATTTTCACTCAGATTTCAAATATTACATTTTAACTTTAAAAGGCATTATTTCTAGAATACCTCCATTAAAATCCCACCATTCCTATGATTGGTTGTTGAAAAAAAATTTTTTTAATCTTTGTGATGATACTGCTTAGGGCAATTTATATTATTTCCTAGGACCCTGTATTGTTCTCCGGAACCATCCAATCTAACTTGGATCCTTTTGGAAAATATTCTGATCGTGAGCTATGGGAGGCAGTGGAGTTGTGTGACTTAAAGAATTTTGTCCAATCACTGCCAAAGAAGCTCCTTCATGAGATTTCAGAGGGTGGTGAAAACCTCAGGTATAATTTTTTTTTTAAATATATATACCGTATTTTCCGGCGTATAAGGCGACTGGGCGTATAAGACGACCTCCTAATTTTTTAGTTAAAAGATAGGTTTTCGTCTTATACTCGCCGTATAAGACTACCCTCCCTTAAGAGGCCAACCGGCAGCGCCCCAGCGCCCCTCCGCCTCCCCAGCTTTGCTCCCGGTGTCCCTGGTCTGCTGGAGACGGTCCCCAGCAGACCAGGGGCACCCGGAGCAGCTTTTCTCGCCCCGGAG